CATAATATAAATATCCAAATTAGATTAAGAAGCGTATGTTTATAGTTGGTATACGGGTACTACAAACCCAACTGAATATTTCAGGTCACCGGACGTTCATTCGACATCAAGAAAATTTTAACACTCACTTAAAAGTCTTACGAAACAATTTTACCACGTTTTGAATAAAATAAGCAAAAAAACCTCCACATTTCGATGGAAAACGAATTCACGAAAACATATAAGCAGTGGACGCAGGAACCCATCATGACCTTGAAACTGACTATAGCGTCTTTCATTTTATTTCTAAAACAGTACTTGTAATACCGAATGGAATTCTCAGCATTTGTCACAATATTGCATCTGATTCACTCAAAATATCAATAAAATTAACCACAGAAATTTGTCCACATTTACGGTTTAAGGTCAAAAACATTCGAAGTACAAAATGAGCAATAAAAAATATAGTTTTAATAATAACAGTGGGTCTTTTTCAAGCAGGATTGTCGATTCAGTTTGGAAGTTTTAGCATGTCATCGGTTATTGAATCTAATGTTCTGTTCGTATAGCACGGTGAGGAGAAAGACAAAATTAACAGTTATTACACAGATTAACGACACTTACAATTTTTTAAAAATAAACAAATTAAAACAGGAAAATGAGAGGATTACAAATATGAGAAGAACAATAACAGTAAAGCTTGGTGAAATACGGATGAAGAAAATGGTTTATTTACTAGTACAAAGAAGGTTAGTTAGTTCACCCCTGACGCTATTTTCACCACATAAAATACGTGACAAATATGGTAAAGGGGAATTTGTATACTTAGACGTACGTGGATACTTACCGATAGTATTGGGAATTCGTATCTCGCGCCTTGTGATAAGTGCAATAAATCTCCACGATAATTTCAGAGCATTGAACATCCGTTTTACTTTCTGATCCTGACTCTAATATCACCTTCTATTCCGCCACCTGTAGTTGAGAGAATGCTGCCCACGTGGGTTATTGACTGAAGTGAGCTGGCTCAGACTCCTTCTGTTGAACGTGACTGAGGCTTGTTGTTGTTGTCTGGCCATTTTCGGCATGTTTGTTCTCTCCATGTTCATATGAAGCCGTGTCTCCTCCATCTGTCCTCTTCGACAACTTATTAGCATAAGCCTGCAGATCTTCGAGTTTGTGTGACATTAGACAGGAATTGCTGCAAAGCCCAGGTCTTCTAGAGTCTTCTTGTCGTCCCCAGGTATTCACGTCTACTTGCTCCATACAGTTAGCCGCATGATCTAGTCTAATGCAGTCACGAAGATTACCGGTGGTAGCAGGTATCCTTGCTTTACAACAGTCTTCAGTTCAAAGGCTTCGCTGAGATTTTCGCTGTGGATAAACTGACATGTGACAGTGGCATATAACTGTGAAATGTTTTCCTCAATGTAGCTGATTTAGAGGTCAAACAGGCACTCAATTCTCTGTTCGATTATGACGCATAGAATCGCAGTTTGATGAGGACATGACCTGCTTTTGTTGAATCCGGTCTCTTCTTGGCAAAGTTTTGCATCCGAAGCATCTTCTGTCTCCTCCAAGATAACGTGACCTAATGGTATGCCCCTCCACTTTCTTGAGACTGAAATGAAATCTATCCGGTTTTCGACATGTCTGCTGGGCGTAACCAACGCTTTAATTTCTGTGTTCTGTTGCTTATATACGTTGCTTCCAATCACCAAGTTTGCGAATGGATCTCCCTTCCCACTCATTTTGTCAAGAGCCTCCCGATTCATTATAAGTTCTCTTCCAATGTTGTTTGCCATAGGTTTAGCATTCAAATTACCAATTAGGATTTTGATGTGACCACCTAACTTGGGTCTTTTCCGCTGATGTTTTGAGTTATCTTTAGAAGTCCACTTCTTCTTTTCTTGTTATATGTTGTTTGTAGAAGCTCAGTATTGAATAATTGTAACTATCCTTCTCGAAGGAGGTTGGTTCCCATCGCACAAGAGCTTTGTCCGCTGTTGGTGACACCATGTTAGGCACTCCCAATGTGTCCACAAATATGTGACCGCAGTTACTAATGACTCCCAAGACGACAATTTAGATGGTCCACACTCATTCCACCTGCTGTCACAGACTGCTAGCACTTCACTGCCATATCTTCTCATATCTTATGCATTCTGAACAGCTTCGCTAGGTCCCCACATCTTGCGGTCATCCCATTTCTCCGTGCTTACCCTTGTTCTTGTAGGAGGAAGACATATTGGCTGACTGGTCCCCTGAAGTCTTTCACCAGCCTGCATCATTCCGTCCCTCGGGTTCCAGGGAAGAACAAGTTTCCCTCTTGTATTTTTGCGTTTCTTGAAGTTTCTATATCGGTTCGACCGATTTTCCGGAGTGAAGCCACTAGCTTTACACCGAGCCTCTCCCCTTTTTCCTGTCTAAGAACCGGCCAGAAAATTTATAAACTAGTAAATCAGGCGAGGTTTGGACTTCTTACAATTCTTCTTTAAAAAATTGAAGTGTAGGTCGATGACTCAGTCAAGTCGTGAGGACAAAGGCTAAATATTGCTTCATTAACTGAGGTTACATGCCGTATATAGAAATTTACATGCTTTTTCTTCCAGGAATATAGAAGATCTTAAATATACACCACTGCTAGTCTTCACACACATCATTCTCTATGCCATTTAAGAACTGTTTGAAAAAGAGGACTAACTTTCAATAAACTCCTTATGGTTTTTGATCATTAGGGTGAATTCACTCACTTCATACACCTATGCCTTCATGGCTCATTATTACTGGATAATCCAGTATTTTCACAAACGAACTAAAACTGTAGGTCGGATTTTGGTCTAAAATCAGGATGAACAGCATTATGGTGACACACTTCAACAACCACAGCCTTAGGTATATAGCCGGAGTATCTTCACTTTGGCGTCCTCAAACACTTTCTCCTGCTAACCTCCCGAAATTGGCATGAAGTGAAAGAGTGGTGAAAGACTCAGCTGTAGACGAAAAGATACTTAGTAGCAAGAAATTCGAGGTAAATAATCTTTTACGTTCTTAATTTTTGGCACATATGGCTATCTTTGTTAATTTCCGTAGCTTACAAATCCAGTGGAAGTATCGCAGTATCCTTGTCATCTCTAGACTATGTAAAAAGTAGCCGCAAACAATCTTCAGCGTCATATCAGTTCTGTCGTCATTGTTTATTTTTACAGGACTCTTCCGGGTGAGGCGAAATTCTCGACGTATTTCAGTTAGTCTTTCCTTTCTACTGTATCTTTAAGGTAACGTAGGAGTAAGTGGGTAATCAGTTCGTCAGTGGTCATTCTCAGGGTAAGTTCCACCTCACTAAGGCAGTGTTGAGTCGCTTGTTGGCCAAACGTTCTGAAGCTTTCCCACTTCCACATGCCTCTAGATTTGTCTTTTTCTTTAACAATAACGCCAGTGTGCTGCACACTGACTGATACATGGTTGATTTGGTTTTATCACTTAATATATACAATCAAACTTTATTTTCGTTTTCTTGGAAACTCAACAAATATAACTGAAACTGAATAGGTAGAACAACGTGCAGTAGATGTTAATCAAGCATATACCTATTCAAACACAGGTTGGGTTTTTCACTAATCCACAACAACTACGGTCTGTTTCTACTTTCCAGCTATACCGCCTCACTGGCTCAGATATGTGAAAAGGCTTCTATACATAGTTTGTGGCAGTGCTACCTACGTAAATGGTTTGACACTTACTACCATAAACCAGATGTTTGGGAATACATCGATGTTTCATTTGATACATGGTATTTGGTTTCAGAGAACGTCTGATATTGTGCAACAATGGAAAACCCGTCTCTTCTTTGCGTCTCAGTGATTTTTAGCCTACATAATATGGCTGAGACGGAGATCAATTGGAAATTTGCGAAAATGACGTTTGAAATTAGCGTGGAACCAATTGGTCCCCGCATTTATTCACTGTCTTACTGTTCGGTTTCTTTAAATACCATTCCGACAAAACGCTTTCACTATACCCTAAAAAATGAGAGGAAAGGACATTTGCAGAGTCGAAACAGTCTCGAGTTTTCTAAGCCTTACACAGGTATGCACAAAATATAAGTTGAGAGGTTCACGGTATCGACGTTCGCGAATTGTACGGAGTATACTGATGCAAGATCTTATACCAACAACTTCTATAGTATTCGTTTCTCGTGTACCAAAGACAAAGCAGAAGGCAAGATTGATCATCCAAAGTACGTGATATATTTCGGGACCAAATAGTAAACCATGTTGAGTGCTTAGCTAGCTAGTGATCGTGCAGGAACGTGACACGACGGAGTATGAAATGGCAAGGATGCTTGACCGAAAGCCTTCAGCTAAAAGAGTCGACTTAAACAGTGAGGGTCAGCATCCGATGTTCAGTGATGATTGCTGTGGTCAATAATTTTGGGGAATTATTTACCGTTACATAAGTATCCAGTCAATTTCACTTTGCCCATTGAACTTGGAAGGACTACACGGGTTGTGGAAACGGTCCTAATAATCTCCAGACAGTTACTTAACTACCAATGTGAAGTTTATTTATATGATTTACAGACTTTGCTTTTTCAAGCCATTCTGTCAGACTGAAATCACGTTGTGTCATTTCGTGGTCGAAGTGACTCCCACAAATAGTAGATAATTCTCTAGGACGCTGGTCTGTGAATAAAACATATCTGTAGGCATGTTCACGTGAAATATATTACTTCGTCTACTATGTTTCATTTCTTCAGGGCGGTTTGTTTTTCTTACAGTCTAATCGGACTCTCGTGGTTTCTCAGAACTTCACATCAACATAAAGCAGAAATACTGGATTGTATGAAATGTTCAGAAAGTCGTTGACAAAGCTTAACTGTATGTATAGCAAAAAAGAAAATGATCGGACATAATGGTGAATTTCGCTTTTTATAAACACTCAGTCTTACTTCAAAATATTCCTACAACATTCAATTCGTAGATTGTTCCTGTATACCCTAGAGACTGTTTTTGGCTTAAGCGCTATTTTCATTTTCTAGGTCATTGGGGTATGAGTGTTGGTATACCAAAACTTTCAGAAACTCCTAAAGTTAATGATTTATGTGACTTTTGTCCCACGCTTAATCTATATCTAAAGCCTATTGCACGGGTTTCTATAACTGTGCAGATCCCTTTGCTTCACGATACATCCGGTCAGTTAAAATCTTTTACGACATGGGAAATCATCGAGAAAATTCGACAACTTTGCCCTGGAATACTCTCTCCCTCTACTGTTATGAAAGTAGTTCACACTACTTTAGAATTCGTCAGATTTTCAGTTGATCTGGAATGCAAATCAGACGTCAGGCGAGTTGTGACAAGTTTGGAAAGTCAGGTAACTCTTAACGTTAGCACAGTTTCAAATATACTATGCAAATTTAGACCATTGACATAAAAGCCTTATGCGTTATGCCTTTTACCACCAAAATTTTGTAGGATTGATATGACACTTCAATTGTTTGTTTTATTTATTTGACAAAGTTCTTATTATCACCGATGATATTCTTAATTGGGTGGGCTGACTGGATTATGCATCACACTGTGGGGAGCGAAGGGTCAGGAATACCCTGGACGACCGATAAGAAGTCTTTAGATGATCTGGATTTCTCAGACAATATATATCATATGTCACACACGTACACAAACTCTAAGACTTACAGGCGAAAAGCGACAAGCTAGCAGGCAGCGAAGACAGGATTCCAGGTGAACATAGAGCAGACGGAGGTCGGTCGGTCGGTTTTCGACATAGAAATTTGCACATATGTGAGGCAGTTCAAGTCGCCACACTCCATGTAGCACACAAAACAAGAGAAGAAAGTAGGAGAAATGCATAATGTAGTCAGTAAACAGAGGTGTGAGACAAAGGTATAGTAATAACGGAGAACAAAACAGCTTCATTGGAAATCATAAGTCTCAAGGAGTGGATGCATCTGCGCCAGCCATTGAGAACGATTTTGAGCCATATCACCAATTGTTTCCAGCCATTGGTTTTACCGTCCCGAGGACCCCAACCAGACAGCAGTTTACACCTTCCTACGTGGCTTAAACTAACTGTTGTAGATCTCAGTGACCGATAAGCTATGTTTTGGTTTGACCACCGCTAGCTCTCTTCCAGCCTGGCCCTATACCAGCTAACATTGCCCGTCAGTCGAGGAAGGCGATGACGTAACACATGTCCTAACCATCTCAGTCGATGTAATTTCACAGTCTCATCGATTGATTTCCCCGCCTTACCTAGCAGTCGACGCCTAACCTCAATATTGCTCACCTTATTATACCACTTCACGCGGGAGATAGGATGCAGACACCTATGATCAAAGACAGCTAGTCTTTTCATGTCTTCCACTCTCAATGGCCAGGTCTCACAGCCATAAAGGAAGACGGGGCGGACTGTTGAGCAGTACACACGCCCTTTGGTCGATAGTCGTCTACGCCAGAGATGGCGTAAACTGGCTTATGCGAAACTAGCCCTCTGTATTCGTGCTGAGATTTCGTCGGAGATCAACCCGTTGGGGCTGATGGTACTTCCCAGACGGAGGTGATAAAGATAATCAACCAGTAGCAACAACAACTATCACCAATCAATACCAACGGGAGATATTTGAAAGACGTCGCTTCCTTCATTTATATGGGAAGCATGGTTTCAACCACAGGCCGGTGGAACGGATGACGATGTCAAAGCAGGCCAGATTGGGAGAGGCAAGATACGCATTCATCAACCTGAAACCAGTTTGGAAATCTTCTGCGCTCCGCCTCAGCATAAGGAACAAGATTCGCATTCACCAATGTGAAGTCAGTCCTTGTATACGGGTCAGAAACTTGGCCAAAGTGTCACAAAAAGGATTTTCAACAGATTGCAAACTTTTATCAACAGCTGCCACCTTTGCTGGTTCCATACCGAAGATCAAATGGCCAACCCGAAGGAACTAGCAACAGGAAACTCTGGGAACAAACTAACCAAGAGCCGATTGCTCAACAAATACATAGGAGAAAATTGAAATGGATCGGGCATGTATTGAGGAAACAGTTGAATGACATCGCGCGCAATGCAGGCCATGGCTCGAGTGAAATATAAATGGGAAGTGACGAGTGGGTCATCAGTGTGAGGGTGACATGTCGGAAATCGGATGAGGAAGAGATGAGAGAGTTTGGGCAATCGTGGACCCAGCTGAAGAGGATGGTAGAAGATAGGACAAAGTGGAGATGTATTGTTGAAGCCCTGTGTTCCACTCGGGACCCGAGGGAAAAATACCAATAGTATAATATTTTCACAAGTCTTAAAAAAGCGTGTCTACATCAGGGCGAAGTCGTAACATTCAGCCCTTTTCAGGTACAATTCACACTCATATAGGCTATAGACTGAACCCATTTAAAACTATCCCATTCAGAATTGGAACTGCCATTTGAAAGATTTCGAGAGAAACTTCAGTTATTTTTGTTATTATTAATTATGCATTTATTTTAAATACAAGAAGATGCACCACACAATAATAAAATATAGAATAAAAGTAAAAATATAGGTGGAGAACGGGTAAAACACTTCACTTGGAAGAAAAACAGTCATATTTAGGAAGTTCGAACAGCATTCGTCAATTATCTTCGGGAAGGGAAGTAAAGGAAATCGCAGCACTTTCGCCATTGATTACGATTCATGGCCATATCCGATAACGTTTTGAGCTGTCTCTTGGACTCCAACCAGGGAATCGTGACGCATCAACCGATGCTAATCTTACACAAATATCCTCCTTCCCACGACGCCACTTCATGGGTGTGGGTTAAAATGTTGCATTTTCCGAAAAGTCCACATACGTCTCCGCAAAATTTGTATTGCTTTGTAACCACTATGTCTTAATTTCATGTGTTCTCTCAAAGGGTTATCGATTCATTACTTATGTTGACACTTAAAAATATAAATCTCTTTTATTATAACTCACAGCGCACTTAAACGTTTTTTTTTAACTGTTTTGTGGAGTTGCTGTGTCTAAGGATATTACGTGGTTTTTCAGATGTAAGAGTGAAGGCAAACTATATCAACCAGCCCGGTACATGACTTTTGATTGTCATTTGGAGTTACTTGTGGTATCACAGATTTTAGATTTATTGGTTGAGGAGAGAAGGCTTGGAGCCAATGTTAATGCTTTTCCAGTAAATTTCTCTGCTTGTTCAAACCCTTCTTGAATGAATCAGTTGAGGTTGCAGACACCACTTCTTCTGGGAGTCGGTTCCAAGAGTTTATGACTCGGTGTGAGAACCAGTACTCCACAGCAATATGATTTCTTCTTGGCTTTTGAACTCCCATGCCATGTCCTCTAAGGTGTTCCGACCTGGTGGGAAGGTAAAGACAGAATAGGTCTGGTGCGTAGTCATTACTTAAAATTTTAAATATTGTAATTAAATCTCCTCTCTACCTACGGTATGACAGGGAGAAGAGATTTAAACTGTTTAGTCTTTCCTCATATGATAAATTAGTCATTCCGAGAACCATACGTGTTGCCTTCCTTTGGACCCTATCTAGAATGTGTGAGTCCCCTTTAAGACAAGGGCTGGCGGCCTGGATGCAGTTTTCCAGTCTTGACCTCACCGGAGATGTGTATAAGGAGGTGGACATATCTCTGGTGATTCTTGTAAAAGCTCTGCAAATTGCCCGTAAGGATCTGAAACAACTTGCAGCCACCGTGCGACAGTGTGCTGTAGTTTTTAAATCGCGACTTACTATGACACCTAAATACAAATGAGTGTGAGCTGATGGGAGTGTTATTCCCTCTAGTTCGTAGGAGCTGATGCTTGCTTGTCCGATGCTCATGGTTGCAGATTTGGCTACATTGATCGGGAGCATCCATTCTCTGGACCGCTCTGATAATTTGTTGAGGTCCTCTTGCAACGTGGACGTATCACTGCTGCCCTTCATCTCTCTCCAAATTTTTAAGTCATCTGCGTATAGGACCATAGGGAAGTCAGTGAGCAGAGATAACTGATTGGTATAGAAAATAAATAGGAGAGGTCCGAGTACCGTGCCTTGTGGCACTCCACTGCGCACTGTTGTCCAGGAGGAGAGTTTCGAGTTGATCCCAACCCTCTGCCTCTTATTTATGACGAGTATCGGGAAGATCGAGTGTTTGATTCATGTGTGAATAATGAATTAACTGGAGTTACCAAAACGCGTATGCGGCGAAACTTGTTAGGACAACTAGTCTTTTTGAAGGAATGGGATTGTGGGGTAGATTAAAGAACAAAATCGTATATAATAAGTGGATCTCAAAGCACCATGATCTATAGTCATTTTTGAAAACATTTTTGGCACTTTTATTACTGCTTGATGCTGGTTAATATATGTGTAAAACTTAGGCACTGTGGTAGTAAGTAATTCCATATTAGCTTGTTTATTAGATATATCACACAGTGAAACAGTATTATTATTTGCTGGATGACGCAGTTTCGAACAAAATTTACTCTTCATAATCATATCGTCAATTGTAATCACACGACTTTGAAACTTGAGTTTTATAGTTTTCTTTGTCTTCTCCTATTTGTCGTCGTTGCGGTAGTAGAATTTTCCAGATATCCAGCTGGACGGGTGTTTAATCATTCCTATTACATGTATTCGCAGTTGATTCGATAAACAAAGCTTCTGTTATCAATCTCTCCCTCTCCCATGCCACATTAGATTTTAAAACTGTCATCCTATCCACCCTATTGTATGGTTGTGTGTTACTGCATGTAGTGCTATAGCTGAATTATTCTCTAGATTTCTTATCCTATTTGGACCAATTGATCTAGATCTCGCTAGGTTTTTGTGCTCCACTTGTCTGACTGACCCTATTCTACTACTTTGACCTATGCATTTGACCTGACATTCATTGCAGGTAGGGTATTAGATAAACTGAATTGTTTTGTTTTAAAGGCTCCACAGGATTCTTTAACCGACAAAGCTTGTTTCTAATTGAGTTTGAATGTCACTTTTATTCCTGCATTGTTAAGAATTCTGCATAAGGTTTCCGAAGTTCTTTCTTTGTATAGAAGTACTACTGATGATCTATGTTCCCTATTGTTGGCGTTATCATTATCCTGTGCATGTTTGACATGCATGTCGTTATTAATATTATTATTATTATTGTTATCACTATCACTAGTATTATTATTAATTTTAGTTTTACATTTTCCTACATAATTCCTGATTAATTTATCAGGTTAATTGTTAAGCTTCTCTTATTTGTCTCACTTCCTGTCCTAGATTTTCGTTGGTACTATTTGGTTTTTGTGTCCTATTACTCAAACATTTCACCAATCCTATTATTATTGACACAGATAAGATGTGATGATCCGAAATCCAAATATCGGTTTGAATGTGTGGGTTTCCTGTAAATACTAGTGTTTTAACTTCACACTTTCTTTCCTTTTTATGTTACAATCTAACATTGGAAGCTCCCCTTCCTGACTTTCCAATTCATAAGTGAATTGAATTGCCTCCACGTTTGAGTTAATGTCTTCGAAGAATTTATTTATGTCCTGCTTTCTAAGTAAGGTGAATGTGTCATCCACATACCTCCACTATACTTTTGGGGTGGTCTGAACTTCTCAGTCGCTAAGTATTGTCACCTATCTATGAATATATCTGCTACAATCGGGGATATTGGTGACCCCATGACAACTCCCTTAGTTTTTTTTGTACATTTTCCCTTGAGATTTAAATGCTGTGGAAGTCAGGCATAGTTGCACTCCAAGCATTATGTCCTCCAGTAGCACTTTCTACTACCCCAACGACGACAAATAGGAGAGAACAAAGAACACTATAAAACTCAAGTTTCGAAGTCGTGTGATTATAATTGACGATATGATTATGAAGAGTAAATTTTATTCGAAACTTTGTCATCCAGTACATAATAATACTGTTTCACTGTGTGATATATCTAATAAACAAGCTAATATGGAATTACTTGATGTTGGATATTTGATTAAGGTCAGTAGTAAAGTCGATTGTGGGTAACTACTACGGTTTAACTTTGTCGTTGTCAGTAGAATAAGATTTGAATATGTTATTCTATTATTCGACGAACTGAAATCATACTGCAAATTAATAGTACGCTTTTCTAGTCTAATAGATACCTTTTACTGGTAAAAATATATGACTAATATCATCTGCTATTGTATGAACTCCATCCGACTGGGTTTTTATTACCAAGGCAGAAATAAACAGTACTCTGCTAAAATTACCTTAATTTCTAACATATTAATGGATTAGTATTTTTAATATATTTATGCGTTGAAGTTTGTGTAGCAATTTGGTTAAGTTTTCGGGGTGGAGTTGCTAGCAGCAGGCCTCAACCCTCCCTCTTTATCCGGGCTTGGGACCGGCGAGAAAACTAGCGAGCTAGTAATCTAGGCGAGGTTAAAAAATATGGAACGCTTCACGATTTTGCGTGTCACCCTTGCGCAGGGTCGAAGAAGCAGCCAGAGAAGACAGGACTCCAGGTGAACATAGACAAGACGGAGGCTATGAAAATAACCAACCAACAACAACAACAGCAGCAACATCCAGCGCCAATCACCATCAACGGGAGGGATTTGAAAGAGGTTACTTCATTCACTTATCTAGGGAACATTGTCTCAACTACAGGAGGAACGGACAAGGATGTCAAATCGAGAATCGGGAAGGCGAGAAACACATTTATCAACCTGAAACCAATCTGGAAGTCTTCGTCACTCAGCATCAACAACAAAATACGGATTTTCAATACAAACGTCAAGTCAGTTCTTCTATACGGATCAGAAACCTAGCCAGTGTGTCACAAAGAATATTTCCCACAGCCTGTTGCAGACCTTTATCAACAACTAACTGTCTTCGTTCTAGACTAAAGATCAGATGGCCGGAAAGAATCACCAACAAGAAACTATGGGAACAAACAAAACAAGAACCAATCGCCCAACAAATATGCAGGAGAAAGTGGAGATGGATTGGACACTCGCTGAGGAGGCCACTGAGTGACATCGCGCGTCAGGCCAGTGCTCGAGTGGAAGCCGAAAGGGAAGCGGTGAGTGGGACGTCCAAGGGTAACATGAAGGAGATCGTGTGAAGAGGAGTTGAAGCAATATGGACTAACATGGATGCAGGTGAAAAGTACAGCATAAGACAGAAGCAAGTGGAGACGTGCGGTTGAAGCCCTATGTTCCACTAAGAACCCAAGGGAACAATAATAATAATGGATTAGTAGTTTAATCTTTACATTTAAGAAAGTCAGGATGAAATTCTCCTTTCTGATTCAAAAAAGATAATTTGGGATTTAAATAGGTAATGGTTCAAATGTTACTTTTTTCCTAGTTTTCCAAGCTAATATAAAATTTCATAATTTTTTCGGCATGTGCGCATGTTCATTTATTAATTCATCAACCCAAAAAGTATACTCACTTTTTCATAAATCTCGATTATAATGAGTACATATTTTTTTGTTTCAGTTCATCAAGTTAAGCGGGTTCCCCCAGAATCTTCGTGTTCGTGCAAGCGAAGCTCCATATGACTGTCCAAGACGTCATGATTGGGAGGCATTTTTCCGTGATGCTCAAAATATGGATGAAACAAAATCTGGTGAGAGACCTGATACTCTTGTACTCACTGGTCTTCCTGTCAGATGGTTTTCCAGTGCGTCACATAATAGACCACGCTTTAGTGCTAACAGTGATGATACTATTAATAGTTATTTATCCCTTCTCGTGGATGAAGAGAAGCCCAATCCTTCGATTCTTAAAGAAGCATTCGAAGTAAGTACTATATTCTAACTGGTGTGTTTTCCTTGACATTATATATATACATATGTACGAAACTATCACCCACTAGTTTGTTGTGTACTCAAATCTGGTTCCAATGCTTGGTAACAAGACAAACAGCACTTGTTAAAGTGAAACTACAATAGTCGAGTTTTTTTTTACCATAGGTATTTGCGTTCTGTCTCCTGTGTTAAGCGGAATAATATGGTGATCAATATCAGGGTTATGCGTAGAATGCCACTTTAAGAAGGGAAGTTAATCAATGAAGTTGTAAATCTACTCCAATCATAAGATGGCTTGGACGCGTGTTGCTCATGACATGTCATTGACAAGCAATATTATCAAACATAGGATTAAGTTGGAAGAAAGTCTTGGATTGTTGGTTCGAATCAGTCACATAGTGAAGTGTAAACTGCCTAGTTAAGGTCGTTGAGATGATAAGAACACCAATAACTAGATACCATTAGTGATATGGCTCGAAATTGTTCTCAGTGGTGTAGATGATGCATTCACCCTTTGTAATTCCCCATATCCATTAAACCATTATGCTTTTCGTTGTCACTATTCTTTCTCCCTTACATTTCTGTTCATTAGGGATTATTTGAATTTATATATTCTCTCTTTTCTCTACCTGTTTGTGTGTTAAATGGAGAGTATAGCAAGTTGAACTAGTGCACTTCTATTCAAAGTTCTATGTTGAAATTCATTCAGTCCGACAATAGTCGAGTCATTACACTCTAAGTCAATGAACTTCTGACCATTATTTCATGTTTTTAATTTCCCATTTATAGTCATTTAGATGATCAGATAATTAATTTTTTACTCAGTCCATTACGTTCCCAGTGGAACATAGGGCGCCTTCAAGCCAGAGGCATAAAGTTTTGGTAGCAGTGGTGTTTATTTATTTTTACGGGATAGGATTACTAGCCTCATGCCCAACCTGCCCTCTTTACCAGTCTTATTTTACTAGCTGAGCGAGGTGAAGGAGAGCGTCGGCCGGGGATTAAATCCCGAACCATATGCGTGATTGGCAAGCACTTACATCATAGATGTAATAATATTCTAATAAATTATGTTATTTTTCTTCAGTGTTACTTAATAGTTAATGTGAAATAATTTGTACCTTTATCGGCTGAAGGTAAAGTTGTGAAGAAGTATTTTATCAGTATCAAGTCTGTCTGTTTGTCTGTTTTCGACATAGAACTTTGCACATATATGTGGCAGTTCAAGTCGCCACACTCCATTTAGCACACAAAGCAAGAGAAGAAAGTAGGAGAAATGCATATTAGAGACAGTAAACAGAGGTGTGAGACAAAGGAATAGTAATAACGAAGAACAAAAGTTTCATTGGAAATTATAAGTCACAAGGAGTGGATGCATCTGCAACAGCCATTGAGAACGATTTTGAGCTATGTCACCAATTGTTTCCAACCATTGGTTTTTACCGTCCTGAGGACCCCAACCAGACAGCAGTTTACACCTTCCTACGTGGCTTAAACTAACTGTTGTAGATTTCATTGACTGGTGCCATGTTTTGGTTTGACCGCCGCTAGCTCTTTTCCACTCTCACCCCTATGTCAGCTAACATCTCCCATCGTTCGAGGAAGGCGTTGGCTAAGCATACGTAACACATGTCCTAACAATCTCAGTCGATGTAATTTCATAGTCTCGTCGACTGATTTCCCCTCCTTACCTAGCACTCGACGCCTAACCTCAGTATTGCTCACCTTATTATACCACTTCACACGGGAGATAGAAAGCAGGCACCTATGATCAAAGACAGCTAATCTTTTCATGTCTTCTGCTCTCAATGGCCAGGTCTCACAGACATAAAGGAGGATGGAGCGGACTGATGAGCAGTACACACACAAGTAAAATTTCTAAGTAATTCTTAGTTGGTAGTAAGAATTAGACAGGCAGATGTTGCATGTTTTTAAAATGTCTGCATGTTTTTCTCAGGAAGCAGAAAGTATACAGATTACAAACTGTCGTATACTGAAAGCGAGGAAGGCCTTTAAGTAAGCAAGTAAAGCACGAATACAGAAGGCTAATTTCGCATACGCCAGTTTGCGCCATTTCTGCCTTAGTAGATGATATGATATCTGGCTATCGACGAAAGGGCGTGTGTACTGCTCAGCAATTTGCTCCGTCATCATGTATAGCTGTGAGACATGGCCATTAAAAGAGGAAGAAGTGAAAAGACTAGCTATCTTTGATCATAGGTGCGTGCGTTCTATCTCCCGTGTGAAGTAGTATAATAAGGTGAGTAATCTTCAGGTGAGGCTTCGTCCTAGTGCTAGATGAGGCGGGGAAATCAATCAACGAAATTGTGAAGTTACATTGATTGAGATGGTTAAGACATGTGTTACGAATGCATTCCCAGCCATTGGTCGCCTTCCTCGACCAACGGGGAATGTTAGCTGACTGGAATAGGATGGATCAGGTTGGAAAACATGGCTTCATCAGTCAATGAAATCCACAACAGTTAGTTTAAGCCACCTTCCTGGTTGGGATCCTCGGGACGGTAAACGCTAATGGCTGAAGACAATCGGTGATATGGCTCAAAATCGTTCTCAGTGCCTGGTGCAGATGCATCCATTCCTTGTGATTCATAATGTCCAATAAAATTCCATCGTTCTCCCATATTACCATTCTTTTTGTCCCACATTTCTGTTTATTATCTCTCTCACTCTCTCGCTTTACTCTCTTCTCTTGCTTTGTGTGCTACATGGAGGGAATGTGACTGCACATCTGTGCAAAATGCTACGTTGAAACCAGTCAGTCAGGCAAGCAAGTAAAACAGTACTTTGATAGTATATTCAGGTGAATCACTTTAAGTATATCATTTGCAAGGTCATCATTGTACAAGCTGAATGACTGAATATTTCACAATAACTATCAAACTAAATCATCATTAGTTGTAAATATTTTCCATTTACACATTTCAGTAGTGTCTGTATACATAGTTTACTGTGATCTGAATTGTTTGTTGTCGTCTTTTTTTCTGTTTATCGATTGGACTTTAGTTATACAAAATTTTAGCTTCTACTCATTCGTAATCAGTTTTATTGTTGATAAGTTTGTGTATCTGGGTAGTTGTGTGAGTGCTGGCGAAGGGATGACGGATGAGATTTCCAACCGTATAATGAAGGCTAGGGTGGCATACATCAACTTGAGCCACCTCTGGCGCCGTCGCGATGTTAGCCTGGCTGTCAAAGGTCGGGTATACAATGCTTCGGTGCGGGCTGTCTTGCTCTACACCTGTGAAACCTGGCCTCTCCGAGCTGAGGATGTGAGGTGACTCTGCGTGTTCGATCATCGCTGTCTCCGCAGGATTGCTTGCGTTCGATGGCATCATCGCGTGAGTAATTCTGAGGTTCGGCGGCGCGTGTTTGAACACAGTAGAGATCACCATTCATTGAGAGTCGTCATCTGGAAATACCGACTCCGGTGGCTTGGACATGTGCTGAGAATGTCATCCCAGAGGCTTCCGTACAGGTCTCTGTTTGCTAGCCCTGGGACGGGATGGAAAAGGCGAAGGGGTGGTCAGTCCATGACGTGGCGTCGTGGGATGAAGGATATTTGTGCTAGATTAGCATCGGTTGGTGTGTCACGACTCCCTGGTTGGGGTCTGAGAGATAGCTCGAATCGATGGCTCGAAACGTTATCGGATATGGCCAAGAATCGTAATCAATGGCGAACGTGTTGCAATTTCCTTCTTTCTTCCCTTCTTGATGATAGTTAATGAATACTGTTTGAACTTGTTAAACATGACTGTTTTCCTTCCAGATGAAGTTCTTTATCCGTTTTCTACTTATATTTCTACTTTCAATCTATGTTGTTTTATTATTATTATGTGGCGCATCTTTCTTGGTGCCATATTGTACCAAGTTTTTTTTCTGCGTTTAAATAAAAAATAATAAAATAAAATAATCAGTTTGAAGAGAGAAAGAACGGACATGTTTGCAGGATAATACGAGCTCGTTTTATTTCGTGGATTCTCATCAACTGCATACATCCTAAACAAAATCAAATTATAGGTTTCAAGAAAGTTGTGGAACATACTTTTTCATAATTACTTTGAGTTATATATAGAAAGCATAAGGAACATAATTCCAGAATTTGATGTAGGTAGACAGATTATTCGGTGTCAAAAAACAACTAATTATATATAGTGGAATTAGATAAGAGGGGTAAGAGTTCGGATTTCTATTGGAAAACAACACTCTGTTCTCTGACCCTGACCCTGTAATATACCTCTAACCAATCTGTGTTGTTTTCCAATAGAAATCTGAACTCTTACCCCTCTTATCTAATTCCACTATATATAATTAGTTGTTTTTTGACACCGAATAATCTGTCTACCTACATCAAATTCTGGAATTATGTTCCTTATGCTTTCTATATATAACTCAAAGTAATTATGAAAAAGTATGTTCCACAACTTTCTTGAAACCTATAATTTGATTTTGTTTAGGATGTATGCAGTTGATGAGAATCCACGAAATAAAACGAGCTCGTATTATCCTGCAAACATGTTCGTTCTTTCTCTCTTCAAACTAATAAAGGGAACCGGTTGCATGAAAATAATCAGTTTTATATGTATTTTTCTTCTCTCTATTACACATACTAAAGGTATTCGGTAAAATCCGAGAGATTGATATTCCTATGCTAGATCCTGCTCAAAATCCGGATTGTCTAGAAGATTATATAAATAACAATAATAGTGTCAATGTCTCTTCTTCTTCGACTATTATATCCAAAACTAATAATAATAATAATACAGCTAAAAATAAACCCAATGAATCACCATTCTGTAATGAATCAAAAAGCACAGAAGAATATGTTGGAGGATTTGGAAAAATCTGTCCTGATACAATTGGTCTATTAAATCCAGCTTTACAGAATAATAATAATAATACAACAGTCAATTCCTGTGGAGTTAATTCTGAACTGTTAATAAAAGCGAAAAAATCGAATGGATTGATAAATTCTACTACTATTACTACTACTAGTTCTGCTACTAGTAGTAGTCCACTTACTTTTATCGCTTATGTACAATATATGGATTATACAGGATTTAGTCGTGCTATGGATATGCTACGAGGTCAAAAACTTGTTTATGCTCCAACGTATAAAAATCAATCATTATCGTCATCATCATCAGCAGCAGTATCATCTGATCGAAGTGATAAATTATATTATGCAGCTGAAATCAAGGTAACATTTATTTTTATTTTCTTGTACACATTCCCCAGTGGAACATAGGGCGTCTTCAAGCTAGAGGCCTGAATTTTCGGTAGCAGGGGTGTTTTGTTTTTTGTTTACTTTTACGGGATGGGGTTGCTAGCCAGCCTCATGCCCAACCTACCATCTTTTTACCAGTCTTATTACTAACTTAGCGAGGTAAAGAAGTGTGTGTCGGTGGCGGCTGGAGGTCGAACCCTGGACCACATGAGGCGTGTTTGGTGGGCATTTTACCGCTGTGGCACTGACACACCAAGGTAACGTAATTCGTCTTAAAAATAAAAAAGAAACTAAAAATTTACATAAAGAAAAGTAAAACGTGGTGTAACTTGACAGTGAATTTGAAGGTTTGACAAATGAAGATTTCAATATAGAAAAAATCCCCATTTAGACATTTAGAAAACAGAAAGATTGAGCGAAGAAATATTTACTTTTCAATCAGATCCTCATCTCTAGCTCTACTCTAATATATATCCATAGCATTTTTATTACACTACACAACAGTTCACCAATCAAGTGGCGATACCTTTATTAACAATAATTAAACAGTGTCAAAATGTCAATGGGTTGATAATTAACGAAGAAAATCAATACACATTTAAAAGGTAGAAATGAATAGAATAAATTAATTTTACAAGTATAACACGTAATTAAAGATGAAGTAGTCAAAATAAAAATAAAATAATTTGGACAATTATAATTTAATAGGTTTAGGGGGAGGGGGCGGCGTAGTCCTGTCTTGTAACGATGGCCACGGTAAGGAAAGTGGCTGTACAAATTTCTCCTGAACACATAGGCGTGGCTTCTTCAGGTGGATTCCGATTGCCTCAGCTGTCTGTAGAAGACGAACTCGTAGAGCAAAGTTAAGATTAGTCGGAATGCGATAAATAATTTTGAATGCAGTATTCACATCAACCTTGTGCTCAGTATCAACAAGGTGTGCTATAGATTATAGGCTATTTGTTTTGTAGGGATTCTAATTGACTTCAGTGTAGATTTCGTCAGTTAAAGATGAATAAAAATCAAGAAGTACTAGATAGCTGTTTCGTCCTAGTTTAGGGCTCTTCAGCATCCTACGCCCACTAACCCCTCACTCCCAACAGTTATCGAATCTATGACCTTCCTCTTACAAAGTGAGGTTAGAATTCACGGGTCACTGAGTGAGTGCCCAGTCCAAATGGCTGAATAGTCACTGAGCTTCGTCTCGTAAGCTGAAGGTCCTGGGTTCGACCTCTGGTGGGGTCTTAGGTGTACACTGCTGAAGATTCGCAGAGTAGAGTGAAATAGCTGTTCAATGCCTCCCTGGTTTTCAATAATCTCTAACTGATGTTGGTTTGTGACGAAATTTACACTAAATGATTGTATTTCTCTCAATTCAATTATGTAATACAGCAAATATAATAAAACAATAATGTCATAAAATTTCATATATTTATTCCTCTTACTGAATTGGAACAAAGCAAAAACTACAGTTTTAGCAGAATAAAATGGTACCATCTTTTATTTCGTTGCCTTGTCGTCAGCTGCTTACAGGGCAAAGATATTATTAAATGTATCTACAAAAACAATTTAACATACTTGCATAGAGTTCATTTTTAGGCAAAAATCAATCGATCAATATACGCATACACTAATAATATATACATATACATATATATGCAATATTAAACACTATTCCGAACAATAATAATCATACACAATGGAAACTTTTCAGCATTTCGCATTCGGATAAAAGAGAGATGAAAAATATCCAGTTACCAGGGTGGTAAAGAAAGACTGATAACTGCTTCTTTCTGGACGCATTAATCAGGTTTCAGGCGCTTGATGGAAATGGCTTCATCAAACTTGAGGAGAATTGAGCTCTTTTGCCTATTGATAAGTTTGAACAACTTTTCGACGTCCACCTCATGACCCATGTCGAGGAGATGCCTGGCGATGGCAATGTTTTAAGCATTTGTTCCCTTTAGACGTAAGCTTTTTGGTACATGTTCAGAAAATTGTAGATATGCCCTTCTTTCTGTTCTTCCAATGTAACTGCTCCCGCAGATACATGTAAATTTGTAAATACAGTTGGAGTTAACATTAGAAGGATATCTATCGATTTTTGATTGTACCAAAGAGCAAGTTGTTCGATAGATGGGAACGAGCTTAGCTGCAGGATAGGCTATGGCTAGTGATGTATTCAGACTTCTGTTGATCATCGCTGCAATGTTTTCACCTGTATAATCAAGCTGAAAGTAGATAGATGCTCTATAGAAAAATTAGAGGAAGAATTTGAGTTTCTTGAAAAGACATTGAAGAGCAATGGGTACCCTCAAAGGTTCACCAACCAGTATGGAAGATCTGAAGTCACAAATGCAAAACAAATCACATTAAGAAAAAAGCCGAGGATCGAACTCCGGACCATATGCATGGTTGGCGAGCGTCCTAACCGCTATGCCACCGATGCCTCCTCAAGTTTGCTGAAGCCATTTCCATCAAGCGCCTGAAACCTGATTAATGCGTCCAGAAAGAAGCAGTTATCAGTCTTTCTTTGCCACCCTGGTAACTGGATATTTTTCATCTCTCTTTTATCCGAATGCGAAATGCTGAAAAGTTTCCATTGTGTATGATTATTATTGTTCGGAATAGTGTTTAATATTGCATATATATGTATATGTATATATAATTAGTGTATGCGTATATTGATCGATTGATTTTTGTTTAAAATGAACTCTGTGCAAGTATGTTAAAATTGTTTTTGTAGATACATTTAATAATATCTTTGCCCTGTAAGCAGCTGACGACAAGGCAACGAAATAAAAGATGGTACCATTTTATTCTGCTAAAACTGTAGTTTTTGCTTTGTTCAAATGTCATAAAACTTATGTTTCGTCAGATGACTGTTTTATTTCTTTATGTAATAGGTTTCAGTTGTACAATATAAAATAGATTTTCATGTAACTACTGTATTCCATTTTTATGTGATACTTAGGACATAGGACCTCATGAAATTATATCGGTTCAAGTCTTTGGACGTCTCAACACTGCCGGGGGTGAGGGAAATCATCAGTGTTAAACTGATTTTAAAAATATAAAATAAAGGGTAGACTAGAGTGGATTTTTAAGTAAATTACAATTTAAAATATAATGTTTTAAATGTACTTCAAAGTCATAGATTTGGAATCAGATTGTTAGGGCTATCCGACCATCATGAAGGAGGAGGGCCTTGCATACAACTATTTTTTTTAAATGTTAATGTAGAAAGTCAATTGGTGTACATAAAGTGTGGCCATTGAATGACGTGCTTTCCTTTTCCAGTACCCTACATCTGACTTTAAAATTTTCTGCACAATAAATACTCATCCTTTTTTTTACATAGTTAGATACCTTATGGATGAACTTTTCCCCTGAAGTTTTGTTGGAAACCTACTTATTAGGACTATAGTGCCACAAATGAATAAATGAATTAACAACACATATAACGCTTTCGTCATTATTTAGAACATTTCATGGGTTAAAATTCACAACTTCATGTTAACTTAAAAGCATCAGTATTCATAAACAGCTTGTTATCAGTGTCAGCCTATAATTTAGAATTCAATGATTCTTCTCCGATTAAATTGCCATATCTTATATGTCTATACACCAGGTGGGCAATTATTTCTATTTCTTTTAATGTTCCACTGAATTGTGTAGTTAAAAGCTGTAGGCTACTTTAATACAAGAGCAGGAAATAATGTAAATGAAGTAATGTAGTATTGCGGTTAACATATTGAAGTAATTTAGCTTTGATATACAAGGAGAACTTTGAGTAGTTTGTGAACCATCGGCAGTACGCACCCACACACACCAGGGTTCGAACCCAAGGCCTTCCGGTTACAAGGCAAGCTGGCTCGTATACCATTTAGACACTGGGACCCGATTCAATGACCAGCCCATGAATTCCAACTTCTACCAATTCGTGATTTAGCGTGACCCCAAACCAATGTCGTCGTACTGCCGATGATTCCCAAAACTAGGATGAAACAGCTGTCCAGTAATCCCTGGTTTTCAGTGGTTCTCTAACTGATATCAATCCATGATCAACTCGTAAAAACAAAACTAACCCTTACACACCAACTATAGAAAAAAAAGTAGTTTGTTTCTAATAAACCGTAGTAATGTATTCACTAAACTTCATATCGCCTTATCTACTTGAGTGTAGGTAACATCAGAAGATGTCATACTTACATTTAGTGTCTAACGGTTGAGATGCTTAGATGAACAGAAATCTAAAGCAAAATCTAGGTTAGTCTACGCTAATATGATAAAAAAAACCTTGGAAAATAGCTCAGCCAAATTGCACTATATGCAACATATGCCTACACCTGTTTCATTTCATACATTGGTTGTTTCATTATGAACCTCTCATTACAGTCTTACTATCTCCTCTTTAAAACATACCACTTTGTACCAGCAACTCACCTGACACCTTTTATAACCTTGAACTAACTTGTCAGTTTTTCCTACCCCACATTCTACGGATCTATTTCACCGAAATATTTTGTAATCGATTTCAGCCCAGAGCACATTTGTCACACAAATACGACTATTTATTTTGACACCCCAAAAACTAATCTGTTATTCTACGTTAAAAAGTGTATCCGCCGCATAACTGGCCATTATTGCAACGACAATAAATATTATATTTTATAATTGTAAGAACCTGAAGAGGAGAAATTATTGAAAAAAGAATATACTTCGTTCAGATTGACTTTTAATTCATGGTGTGGGAATGTTTCACACTATTGAAATTTTAAAAAGCTTGGAGGTCCACTTGGAAGGCGGCAAAAAGAATGAAAAAAGAAATTATACGTAGCTGTTTTTTTATCTTCAGATTTTTACGGTCTTAAATTTAGAATAAGAAAAGAATAAGTGAGCATAAAGTACAGGAAGCTTGTAGGTCTGTATTTTCTGCTTATTTTATTCAGCGATTAAACAAATTCTTTTTATTGTGCTTAAATACATCAAATCTTATGAAAAGAAACATTAACATATATGTTATGTCACAGTCTTATCAATCAGTAGTTTATGCATCCAGTTTACGATGTGTACTAGACTATGCACTATGGACACCAAGAAATGCACCACAAAAAATCTCGTAGTTTGCGCGAGGGTGTTGGAATACTGCCCGGACGCTCAGACGTCGAAGTGGGTGATTGTCTTAAGAGATCAACCACTCGAGCCTTTGACTTGAAGTCTGATTTACAAGCCAGCGGAGCTACGTCCTCAAAACAGGTCCATTCGGATTTGGAGTCCAAGTACACCATAGGTTTGGAAACAGTTTTCCAGCTCTGCTATGTAGACCAACATGCATATCAGTTCGTATCCGGCCTTTCATTTTTGTTAGGACCACTCCCTCCACAATGCATGAAGCCGTTCAATAGGACTTACCTGGCAGTGGGTATGTAATGATTTGCTTTTAAATAAGAGAAATTCCTAAATTAAAATCTATTTATATGGGAATAATTGAAATTCTTCCCTTCACTCATCCCACACCCCCCCCTTTTCTCTCATAATTAGATTGATTTCGATCGAACTAAACACCTATCACCAAATTCAATTCAAGCAAGACATATGAAACGAAAACAATTGTTCATCATTGCTGAACGTAGACGTGCCGAGGCAAGAAGTCTAGCTGAAGCAGAACAAGAACGTTTACGTCTTTTAGAAGATTCAGAGCGTAAAGCTGCAGAACGACGTCAAGCGGAAGCACTGGCTGCTGAAGCGGAACGTGCAGCTAAACGTGCTGCACGGGAAGAAAGTAAACGACAAATTGTAAGTATATTCTTAGATATATTTTGTCAATTCAATTTAAGTTTTATTTGTAATTCTTTTTTGCTTTATAAAAATGCTTTACTCTGTTCTCTAGATTCTTTTTTAGCTAGCAGCACAACTGTACATAAGCTTACATTTCTTCCTCACACTATTTCCTCGATATCACCCTAGGACGCCCAACTAGTCTCTGCTTGTCTGTCGCATAATGTGTGTCTCATTCAACAATCTCCTCAGTGTACGTCGAATCCATCTTTATTTCCTTTCGCATATTTGTCTGTAGCCTGTTGGAAACTCTTTAAGATATAAATATAAGATGATGTTGCAGGATTGGACTACACCGACCCCTAGATTAGAAATAGGATGTGAAGTGGTAGAGCACGTTGACCGCTTCAGTTATTTGGGAAGTACCATCAGCCCCAACGGGTTGATCTCTGACGAAATCTCAATACGGATACAGAGGGCTAGTTTCGCATATGCTAGTTTACGCCGTCTCTGGCGTAGACGGGATATCCGACTATTGACCAAAGGGCGTGTGTACTGCTCAACAGTCCGCTCCGTCCTCCTTTATGGCTGTGAGACCTGGCCATTGAGAGCAGAAGACATGAAAAGATTAGCTGTCTCTGATCATAGGTGTTTGCGTTCTATGTCCCGCGTGAAGTGGTATGATAAGGTGAGCAATATTGAGGTTAGGCGTCGAGTGCTATGTAAGGAGGGGAAACCAATCGATGAGGCTGTGAAATTACATCGACTGAGATGGTTAGGACATGTGTTACGTATGCCTAGCCAATGCCTTCCTCGACCGATGGGAGATGTTAGCTGACATACGGTGAGACTGGAAAAGAGCTAGCGACAGTCAAACGAAAACATGGCTTCATCAGTCAGTGAAATCCACAACAGTTAGTTTAAGCCACGTAGGAAGGTGTAGACTTCCTAGTTGGGGTCTTCGGGACGGTAAAAACCAATGGTTAGAAACAATTGGTGACATGGCTCGATGTGATCGTTCTCAATGGCAGTCGCAGATGCATCCACTCCTCGTGACTCATGATTTCCAATGAAACTGTTTTGTTCTCCGTTATTACTATTCCTTTGTCTCACACCTCTGTTTACTGTCTCTAATATGCATTTCTCCTACTTTCTTCTCTTGTTTTGTGTGCTACATGGAGTGTGGCGACTTGAACTGCCACACATATGTGCAAAGTTCTATGTCGAAAACAGACAGACAGGAAACTCTTTCTATGACGCGTGTACCTAGTCTCTGAATCATAAAGAAGTACTGACTTGACATTACTGTTGAAAGTTTAAATCTTGTTCCTTATCCTGAGTACAGTAGATTTCCACATTGATGGTTCCAGAGTAATGATTGTCTTTATTGGTTTTCTCAACAATGCCTTTGTTGAAATGATGTGATCCTGCCTAGATAAGGGGAAGAGGTGAACTCCTTCAAATATCTCTGGTCAAATGGTGATTGATCCTTGTTGGTGGTGGTGGTTAGCTATCTTTATTATCACCTCTGTCTTCTTTGTATTCAAATGAATTTGTCCCTTCTGCCAACTTGTCGATTTTCTCTCGTAGATCATCGAGTTTGTGTGACATTAAACATAAATCATTCTTAAAGTTCAGATCTTCTAGTGTCTTCTTATCTGTCCCTATAGTCGTGTCATATGATCCATTCCACCACAATCAGGAATATCATCTATGACAGTAGGCAGTCTTGACTTATTCCCATCTTCATTCCCAAAACTTTGCTGAGCTTTCCGTTGTGGATCACACTTGATACACGGTATCATTAAGTAGCTGTTGAATTAGGTTGATAATTGTTTGTTGCACTCTGTAATGTTGAGGTAGTTTCAAAATTACTTCATGGTTAACGCTACTGAAGGCCTTTTACAGATCGACGAAGTTGCAGTTGCTCTCTTTCATTTGTCATAAAATCTGCTTTTTAACCATTTGTCTCTTATATCTGTGATCATATACCACTGATTCTCTTTAGAAGGGATTTCATGAGGTTTCTTTTTTTCTACTTAATGGAATAAACCTATAGAAGTTAATCAGCTGCCCGGTTCTACATTGCTTTGTAGTAAATTGTAACATCATTTAGAGACCATTGAAAACAAGGTAACACTGGACAGTTGTTTCGTCTTAGTTTGGGACTCTTCATCAGTAGTGCACATCCAGGACCTTCAAGTTACGAGACCAAACTTGTTGACTATTCAGCTCACATATAGCTAGCTACTAAAACGGGGATGTCTTGAAGGTGTGTACTGAGAAATTATGACCACTGGGGTCCACTACCATGTTAGGATGAAATGAATGCTTATCGAAGCCATTGATTGAGGGTAGAGCTATATTACAAACTGATAAAGTTCGAATTCACTGGTCATTGAATTCCGCCCTATGTATCAAATTGGTGAGTGTGTGCTTAGAGCTGTCTGCAAGACAAAATTGTAGACAACAATTTACGCCAATGTTTACGTCCTGAATCGGGGTCATGAGTAAAAATCGTAACAAAGCTTAACCTTGAGGAGCTCAACAACCAATCACAGCAGACTTGACTTGTGCAAACACCATTCGTAGATGCATAACTTAACTTTCTAAGAAACAGTCACAAACAGTACAGAATAACCTTCAGCTAGAAAACAAACAATCAGAAGACGTTGCTTCTCTGCTAACAATAACATAAAAATCTATGATTATTTTTTGATTTTCTCAATAAACGATCTGTTGCCTGGCCCTTGTCTTATGTCGTTACAAGTGTCGTTGCAACTTCCCAAATAGGTTGACCACTTCACCTATTTGGGAAGTTGTATCAGCACTGACGGACTGATTGGCGACGAAATCTCAGCCCGAATCCAAAAAGCTCGAGCTGCTTTCGCTAACTTACACCACCTCTGGCGTAGGCGTGACATCCGGCTATCAACCAAGGGACGTGTGTACTGCTCAGCAGTTCGCTCCGTCCTTCCCTATGGCTCTGAAACATGGCCAATACGAGTTGAAGACATGAAAAGGTTGACTGTTTTTGATCATAGATGTCAACGATCTCTTTCTCACGTTAGGTGGTATAATAAGGTAATTAATGTTGATGTTAGGAGTAGAGTGTTGGGTAAACATGGCATCAATCCATCAAATCCATGACAGTTAAACTGAGTCAGGTAGGGAGATGCAGACTTCCGGGTTGGGGCTCGCCCTCGGGACTCTAAGAATCAATGGCTGGAGACAGTAGGTGACATGGCTCAAAATCGTTGTCAATGGCTTACGCAGATGTATTCAGTCTCTGTAATCTTTCATATTCCTTTCTACCATTACTCATTCTGTTTCACTCATATACTCATCTTCTTGTCTACCTTTGTGTTCTATTTGGAACGTGGCAACTCGAACTGCTGCACTTTAGTGCCAAGTTCTATGTTGAATCCAGACAGGCAGACGTTACAAGTGGACAACGAGCTTGGTCCCATAACCTTAAAGGTCCAGGGTTTGTTCCCTAGAGGGGTCGTGGATGTTCACTGATGATGAGGAATTGTAAAGTAGGACGTAACTGTTATCCAGTGCTATCTGGTCTTTAATACTTACTAATTGACCATTGGTTTGTGATGAAAAACTACACTGAAATTAATCTGCATCCCTACAAAATAAAAAAAACAACCCATAATCTAAAGTTTTTAATGTTAATTATATTTGTAAGCGATATATATTGTATCACTTCATATTTTTTTAAAAGATAATGTTAGACTACTTAAATTACCACTTTCGTCGTTTATTCATTATACAGTTGTTTGTTTCTTTGTTTTTCCAAAGTCTAAACGACCACTGATATGATCATTGGTCATTTCATTATACCTTTTATTTTACAGTTTGATATTTAATGAGAGAAAAAAGTTATTGAATTGTGAATCTACAATACAAATCTATGATTGAGACATATAACTAACTATGCACTGTTATGTGTGTGTGTGTATATGTAGCTTGCTTGAATTCATCGGATAAGAATTCAAAGATAATATGGTACTTATAGCTTTAATGTTCAGCCTTAAACAGGCAGTTGATTACTTTTTTTGAAATCTAGCTTCAATTTCAAATGTGTGTTAGATCACATGGTTTGAAATCATTGATAAGATGGTACTTATTGTGTGTGTGTGTGTATGTGTGTTTTAACCCTTGATTTTTATTACTATGACGTATTCATATCATTAATTATTATTATTATTATTATGAGTGATATTTTTAGGATCATAACTTTATTATTATTATTTCTCAAAGATTTGATTTGTTTGAGATTCGGTCGTGGATTGAGATATCAGTTAGAGAACCAACCATTGAAAACCATCAGGGAGTACTGGAGAGATGTTTTTTCCTAGTTAGGGGGGACTTCAGTACAGTAAACACCCACTGGGATTCAAACTGAGACAGGACTTTCAGGTTATGTGCTTTGGGGGCACAGAAGTAGAATGTTCGATCCCCAGCTGACGCACTCCGAAACCTCACTTAGCTGCTAATAAGCCCGGCAGAGAGGGAAGGTTGGGCGTGGAGTTAGCAGCCCAACCCCGTAGAAATAAAACCACTGGTACTGAAACTTAAAAGCTCTTGATTGAAGCCCTATGTATTCCACTGGGAAAGTAAAGGAATAAAATAGTAATTATACCTTCAGGTTACAAGACAAGCTCATAGGTCATTCAGCCTTTCAGCCACTGGGACCCAACTTCAATGGCCAGACCATCAAGTCTAACCTCTGCCAATTCGTGATTTTAACACTATCACTAGCCAATGTCATCGGCGAATATTTTTTCCTCACACCCGATTGGGTGGACCCCATGGGTTGGTAGAAGTTGGAATTCATTGGCCATTGAACCCGGTTCCAGTGACTAAATGCTCTACGAGCCTACCTTGTAACCGAAAGGCACTAGGTTCGAGCCCTGGTGAGTACCCACAGTGCTGAAGAGTCCCTAACTAGGAAAAAACATCTGTCCAGTACTACCTGGTTCTCTAACTGATATCAATCCCTCATCAAACTTGATACCCTATTCTGTCTGTCTGTCTGTCTGGATTCTACATAGAAATCGGCACCGAAGTGCAGCAGTTCGAGTTGCCATGTTCCAAATGGAACACAAAGGTAGACAACAAAATGAGTGAAGAGAATCAATAGAGTTTTGACATGTATAAGAGTGAAACAGAATGAGTAATGGTAGAAAGGAATGTGAAAGATTACAGAGACTGAAAACATCTGCGTAAGCCATTGACAACGATTTTGAGCCATGTCGCCTATTGTCTCCAGCCATTGATTCTTAGAGTCCCGAGGGCGAGCCCCAACCCGGAAGTCTGCATCTCCCTACCTGACTCAGTTTAACTGTCAGGGATTTCATGGGTTGATGCCATGTTTTTGTTTGACCACCGCTTACTCTTTTCCAACCTGGACCTGTATCAGCTAGTAATGCCCGTCAAGGGAGGCGATGGTTAGGCATGCGCAGCACGTGACCTAGCCATCTCAATCTATGTAACTTTATAGCCTCGTCGATTGATTTTCCCTCTTTGCCCAACACTTTACGCCTTACCTTATTATACCACCTAACGTAAGGAAGAGATCGTAGACATCTATGATCAAAAACAGTCAACCTTTTCATGTCTTCAACTCGTACTGGCCATGTTTCAGAGCCAGAGAGAACTGCTGGGCAGTACACACGCCCCTTGCTTGATAGCCGGTTGTCACGCCTATGCCAGATGATACTCTATTATATTTTTTATTATTGTTAGCTCTCGTTGGTATTGTGGCAATTCCTTCCAAATAAGTCTTCATTCACTTGTTTTTTTCTCATTCTTTTGCGTTCCTGGTGGAATGTAGGGTTTCAAGCTTCATGCTTTGAAGTTTCAGTAGCGCTTATTTTGTTTATACGGGGTCAGGTTAGGTTAGCCTCAACCCAACCTTCCTTCTTTTTTGGGCTTACTGCCGGTTAGACGATGCTTAGGAGTGCTCTGGCCGAGAATCCAGCCCTGACTACGTGAGTAGCTAGCGGGTGGGTTATTATACCCCCAAAACCACCGGCGCATCTTTCGTTCACTTAAGTTAGGTTGTAGTTCCCGTTGGTTGACGATATTAAAGGCCAACCAGTTATTATTCACCGAAGGGTCCATTCTAGTTGCAGGTATGCCATCGAAGGCGGAACATTTCGCTCCGATATAATCCCAGTGGCTGAATGGTATACGAGCTTGCCTTGTAGCCGGAAGGTCCTGGGTTCGAATCCCAGTGGGTGCGTACTGCCGATGATTCCCAAACTAGGATGAAACAGTAGCTGTCTTGTGTGCGTCGGTGGCACAGTGGTTAGGACTTTCGCCGACCATGCACATGGTCCGGGGTTCGATCCCCTGCTGGCGCACACCCGTTATCTATGGTCGGCCTGAATTTGGGCTACCGATATCCATGCTGAAAATTCCACACTCGTACTGAAAATACGGTGTGGAATCAAGCTGTAAATCAAAATAAAATAAAAATAAAATCATCAGTAATCTAGAGTTACAAATTAACCTAAACAAATAACAACTGATACCTGTAGCACAGAAGATGGCTGTTCAATAGTGACCGATCTAGTAGATAACGCTTTGGTGTTTGAAACAATGGGTGTATGTTTCAAGTCTCAGTGGGTACGCGATTACTCACTGGAAATGCTGACAAGTTCCAAAAATGCAGGTCTCCTAGATCCCCACTGTTATCGACCGTCGACCAAATAACTTTATTTATTTCAACTCAAACCTGATACACTGTGGACACTAAAGGAAGCTCCACACAAAAAATATTAGCACAACAATGTAGGAATCATAGGATTAGAATAAATGAGGGATGACATTCAGAAAACAAGTAATCATGCTTACGAAAAAGCATTCAAAAGATGGTCTATATTAATCGATTTTACTTTCATAAAGAGAAAAATGGAGGGAATCGTAGCAAGTTCGTCATTGTTTCTAATTCTTGCTTATATCTGATAACTTCTCGAGCAACTGATTTGAATTATCTTTGCGGTTCCAGAATGACAACAGTGTTGGTTACTGCAATGGAAGCTGACATTCTATGGGCCACTAGTTAGCAACTCAAAGCGGTATGGATCGACTGAGATTTCATGCAATAGCGGAAGGCTGACGACGGTAAATATACCAGAAATGATAAAGGTGGTGAAAATAAACCAAAATGGTTTATGTATAAAATTAAAATGTAAAACAATTGAGTTGCTGGAAATGTGGTTGGAGAAGCAGTTTGTGATATTGACGAGTACATGAGTGTAGTTACTTACTTATTCTTGTTTTAATGGTTTGTTCAGTGGGCGAAATGCTACCGGTTTGACCCTTAAATTTTGCCGTGTCAGTGCCGAAACCGAAGGAAATAATTGTCTTCAGAGACCAACGCATGAATCTGCGATCTAAAGTATACGGTGCTACGACAAGTTTATCCCTGTAATTTCTATTGGTGAAAAAACATTTGCCATCATCTGGAAACACCAACTTCGGTGGCATTGAAATGTGCTATGATTGTCATCCCAGAGGTTTCTATATCGGTCTCTGTTCGCTAGGCCTTGGACTGTATGGAAAAAGTGGAGAGGTGGTCAATCTATAAAATGGCGTCATGGGATGAAGGATATTTGTGTTAGGTTAACATCAGTTGATACATCACAACTATCTGGTTGAAGTCTGAGAAACTGTTCGAATCCGTGACTGGAAACGTTATTGGATACCGCTACGAATCTCAATCAGTAGTGAAAGGGCTGCAATTCCCTACTTTCTGCCCTTTTTAGCAGTAATGTGATGAATGTTGTTTGATCTTAGCAAATATGCCTTTCCTGCTTTATGGATGATGACCCTCATTCATTCTCTTCCTATTTTCTATATATGTATTGTTGTTTTATCATTGTTGTGCGGTGCATCTCTCGGTGTTTTAAATAAATAAATAAATAGCTCGTTCTAGATTCTGCAGGTCATATATAGCTCATTAGCTTAAGCATTTAACTTCCAACTAATGGGTCCCTAGGTTTGAACCCCACTCCACCTACCTCATCCTGGGCAATATAGTTTACCTCATAGTCTCCAACTCATAAAATAAGCTGTTCCGTGTGTGTGTGTGCCGTGAAATCCTCAAATAGATGGTTTACTTACATCATCTTTCCACTTCTGTGTGAAGATACATGCATTGTCATAACAAACTGTATGAATACTTAACTGTCTGGGAGATAATTTCAACTAAGCTCCACTTATCCCCCCCTCCAGCTGTATCAACGAATTTGATAAGTTGTATGTCAACATGTACCACCAATGTGTTACCACTTACTTGAGGATTAAGCATCTGGTTAATGTTATCAACTTCTGGGTAAACGTGTCTCGAGTATGCATTTGATTACTATATTATATTTTCTAAAATATAAAACAAAAAATAGTGGGCTAAAATTTATGCGGTAACATATATATATATATATATATATATAATGCATTATTGTTTAAATTTCGCGCCAAAATTGAACATTGAATCATTGAACGTCTTTTTGTTTTCTAATTCCATTGGTGAATCATAATGTTAAAAACCTATTAAAACAATTTTATACAGGCAATAGGTCGGTGTAAACGAATTAAAGAAGATTTATTGAAGAAGAAAATATCTCTTGAAGAATATCGTCGAATTGTAGCTATTCGTAAAGTGGAAGGTATACGATTGATGACATTTTTGTTAGCTAAAATACAAGTAAGTTATTCTTATATTTATTTATTTATTTTTATCTTTATTGGAAGCCTATTTTGTGTAGATGTTTTATTATTATTATTATTATTATTATTATTATTATTATTATTCCACAATGATTTATTAAGATGTATAAGCACCACAAAAACATAGTTCAAACTAAATAATAACATTTTTACTCAGCCGCGGCCTGCTTAAAACTTGGGCTACACCAAAATCTCCCATCTGTCTACTGCATTATATTTTCTCTCGTTCAGTTTGTTTTAATCGATTGACATATGACCTCTATTGGTATTATCTACTCTTGTGGGTATTTAAAATGTTTACAAGCTTGTGATTTCCAAGTTCCTACTAAAAATTGAGGAATGGTCTGATTGTGGATGGCAATGTGTTCCAATACAACATGAGATGACTGTTCTTCAGTTATGTTCTTGGTACTCAATATGTGCTTCTAAATATCTTACGATTGGCTATCAACTAGATCGATATCGTGGATTTCTTGAAAGAAGGAGACAAAGCAGATATATCATAATGGAATGGTTTGTGTTTCAGCTCAGAGAGACCATTGTGTCACATGAAGGATATACTGTCAATTAATATTTTACTTAAAGATATTGATTGTACGAAGGGAAAATGCTATGCAATAAACTCCTCTGGAAATTCTGTACATTTTATAAATATTGCCCAGAAAAAAGATATTATTATAATTAAATCTGAATTATCGATTCGGTAAGATAGTGTGACTAATCTCTCACTACCCTGGTAACCATAATTGTTTTATTCGTGTGCTTTTGTGTTTTTCTTCTGTTGCATAACATTCCACCCAATCTTGATTTTGATTTTCACTTACTGACTGAGTTGAACTCACTGTTAAGGTTCCAAATCTACTAAATTAAATTATTTTATCTATTTTATAATAAATTTATTTCAGTATTCACCCCCCTACCCTCCTGAACTCTTCACCATAATAATAGGTATAAATTCGCTATATTGTTCTATCTTGTATTTTGTCTTCAAGTCCATCCTTGTTTCCAAGCTAAATCTGAACTTCACCCCCTTGTCTAATTACTACATAAATAGTTACTCTTTTAACATTAAATAATTGTCTACTTACATCATCTTTGAAATTATGTTGCTTATACTCTCTATGCATAACTTGAAATCATTGTAAAAAGTATGTTGAGATAAATTTTGTAATATATTATAATTAATTTATTTAGGATGTACACAGTTGAAGAGAGAAAGAGAGAATCCACGAAATAAAATAAGCTCGTATTATCCTGTAAATATGTTCGTTCTTTCTTTATTTTCAAACTAATAAAGGTTGTATGAAAGTGGGAAGAAAAGTTATTCAAGGGAAGAATTAATTGTATATTGGCATAAAGGAAGGAGGTGATTAAATGTTGTTAGAAAGTACAATGAAATAATAAAAACAACATATAGAAGAAAAAGTGAAATGAAAGTGGAATGGAGTTAAATGAAAATAAAATTTTCAACATGAGCTGACATTAGTTAGAGAACGATTGGAAAACCTGGGAGTACTGGACAGCCGTTTCGTCCTAGTTTGGGACTCGTCATCAGTACGCGCCCACCGGGATTCGAACCCAGGACCTTCTGGTTACAAGGCGAGCTCGTATACCATTAAGCCGCTGGCACCCGATCCAATGGCCCATGAATTCTAACTTCTGCGACTTGCCCTATTCAGGTAGGTAGTTACCTGGGGTTCTAGTGAGAAGTCGTGACCAGTAGGATGCAGCAGGTCGAGTGTGAGGACAAATACTCGCCGAAAACATTGGCCAGGGGTCGCGCTATGTCGTGAATTGGCAGAAGTTAGAATTCACGGGCCATTGGATCGGGTGCCAGCGGCTTAATGGTATACGAGCTCGCCTTGTAACCAGAAGGTCCTGGGTTCGAATCCCGGTGGGCGCGTACTGCTGAAGAGTCCCAAACTAGGACGAAACAGCTGTCCAGTACTCTCAGGTTTTCCAATCGTTCTCTAACTAATGTCAGCTCATGATGAAAATCGTGTAACCAATCAAATCCCTACAAACCAACACTTGAAAATAAAATTATTAGATTTAAGGGTATGATACGTAAAACACTAAGAATATGAGGAACCAATAACCCTCCCCCATACCCTTCAATATACTAGATTTATAATCACATCTGGAGAATTCATTTCGATCTATCGTGTGGTGTGTTGACTGACTAAGTTTTTCAAAGTGAAACTTTTCTTGAGATGATTGCAGCAATTCAGAGTTACCACACTCCATGTAGGTACATAAAGTTAGAGAAAATAGATTCAAAATAACTATAAGGAAGAGAAATGTACGGGAGTAAGAATTGTGGCATTGTAAACGTATGAGGGTTCAACAGATCTGGGAGATCACAACGGCATCATTGGGAATCTTTTTGAGTCAAACCACTAGCAGTTTCAAGGACCCAAGGCACTTTTATACATGACTCAAATCAACTTGATTGGTATGTTATGTTTTAATTCGACCATCCTTAACTCTTTTCGAACTCAATCATATGTCAACTGACATCGCTCAACGATGAAGGCAATGATTTGGTATGGGTAACTCGTGTTACAGCCATCTCAACCGATGTGGCTGCACAATCTCATTGATTCACTTGCCCTTCTCATCTATCCACTTACTCCTCGTGTTTCCCGATGTTACTATTCTTTCTTCAATACATTTTTGCCTAGTATAGTCGTTGGAGACGTGACACATTGGCTTAAGCACTCTACTTTCAGCCAGTAGATCTTGTGTTCGAATCCCGTTCGACTTGCTTCAGCCTGGGCAACTGGATGGTATCATTCGACTTCACTGCTGCACTTTTGTGCAAGGTTCAACTTTGAAACTCAGTCAGTCAGTCATTGCTGTACATACCTGGTTTCTAACCAATGGGTCATCTGTTTGAAGTATTCTCTTCCCTGATTCACTATAGGCAACCAACTGGGTAAAGTGTATCTCATCAACCGTCATACAATAAGTGTGACTCTGATTCCTATTACACAAATCTATTGTTATAGGTGTAAATGAGTTCAAAATATGTGGCTCTCGGAAGCCCGACTCCTCACATGCTATTTACGTTCCATTTGAAGACCTAGCGGACGACATCACTCAACAGTCTCGTCAGTGTACATATCCAGTCCGTTTCCATTTTCTTCAGCATATTGTTTTTTTTAGATCATTAACCACTGGCTCGTTGTCTGGCAGAATTCTTTGTAACTAACTCCCTTTTAGAACATGTGATTTTCAATATCAAGCAAAGGGAGAGGTGTTGACAAAAGTCTGAAGTAGCCTGGCAGTAATGCTTTTAGTGACGTGTCATGTCTCTGAGTCATATAGAAGCACTGACTTGACATTAGTGTTGAAAGTGCGGATCTTGTTCCTTATGCTGAGTGGAGTAGATTTCTCCACTGGTTTCTGAGTAAGGAAGGTTTGTCTTGCTTTTCCTTTCCTGCCTAGTTGTGGTATACTCATCTGTTACTCATGTTACTGCTTAGATTTCTTACGTTCATGGTGACTGATGATTATTGTTGTTGTTAGTTAGCTATCTTCATCACATTTGTCTACTGTGTATTCACCTGAAGTCCTGTCTTCACTGCCTGCTCCGTCTACCAACTTGTTGGTTTTCGCCTGTAGATCTTCAAGTTTGTGTGACATCAGACATAAGTCATCCATCACGTCGAAATCACTAGTAACCAGTCAATCTATATTCTTTATCATTATATTCATTATTATTATTATTATTATTATTATTATTATTATTATTATTACTGTTCTCTTGGATTGCCAGTGAAACAGAAAGTCTCCACTTTGTTCAATTTCTCGCTGTCCCCTTTAGCTGGGCACATTTTTGCTCATAGTTTCTCATATCCTCCTCCTCGCATGATCCTCTCCATGTCACCCTAGGATAATCCACTCGTCATGTCTCATCCGTGTTACACTCAAGCGGCTGGCGCACGATGTCATTCGACGATTTTCCCAACAATATGCCCGATCCGTCTCCACTTTCTCCTACATATTTGTTGAGTAATCGGCTCTTGGTTAGTTTGCTGTTAATTTCTTTCTGGCCATCCATTTGATCTTCAATAGAGAACGAAGACAGCTGTTGTTAAAAGTCTGCAGTGGCCTGTTGGAAATGCTTTTCGCGATGCTGCGAACGCCAAATTTCTTACCCATATAGAAGAGCTAACTGACTTAACACTTGTGTTAGAAACCTCAGCCTTGTTCTTCGTGCTGAATGCAGAAGATTTCCAAACTGATTTCAAACTGATGAAGGTGTATCTTGCCTTTCCGATTCCGGCTTTTTGACATCACCCGTCTCGCCTGTAGTTAGTTGGAACGATGCTTCCTATATAAGCGAAGGAAGTGACGTCTTTCAAATTTCTCCCGTTGTTAGTGATTAGTACTGATTGTTGTTGCGGTCGCTGTTGATTGGTTATCTTCATCACCACCTTCGTCTTCTCTATATTCACCTAGAGTCCTGTCTTCACTGGTAGCTTCTTCAACCAGTTTGTTAGTTTCCACCTGTAAGTTTTCGAGTTTGTGTGACATTGAAAATAAATCATCCACGCGCAAAATTCCAGGTCCTCGAGAATCTTCTTATCTGTCCAATGTATCCCTGTCTTCTCGCTCCCGATGCACAGTCTTCTGCATATATAATCCAGTCAATCTACCACAATCAGGAATATCATCTGTGATAATAATAGGCAGCCTTGACTTCTGACTTTACTTCTAAGGTTTCACTGAGTTTTCCGTAATAGGATCATCTGATACATGGCGTTATCATATAGCTGTATATATTCATATATTATACTCACTAGCCACCTGTTTTGCTGTTGTTTTTTTCCTTCACGTTCCCCAGTGGAACATAGGGCTTCAAGCTAGTAGTGGCTTGAAGTTTCTGTAGCAGTGTTTATTTTACAGGATGGGGTTGCTAGCCTCATGCCCAACCTTTCCTCTTGACCAGCATTATTTCTGGCTTAGCGAGGTAAAGGAGTGCGTTGGCAGCCGGGTATCGAACCCCGGACCATGTGCATGGTCGGCGAGCATCCTAACCGCTATGCCACTGACGCCACCTGTAATACAATCCAAAATGATAGTTTCTCTTCTTCCTCTATAATTTGTGCAATCTTCTTTTTTCTCCGTTCTTCATGTTTTATTCTACACCACTTTTCAGGCTCGTCATGATTTAATCGTGGCTACAAGACGTGTTGCTCGTTTATCTAAAGTAGAAAAAGCTGCTGTCGAAGCTGAAGTCAGTGTCAATATCGCCTTAAGTCAAGCATCTCAAACTTTTACAGCTAATACTAAATCCAACGATGGTGATGATGATGGCGACTATGAAATGAAAAGTGGTGAAAAAGAAGATTCAGATAAAAAGTGTTCACAATCTGGTCTACCATCAGTCTATTCATCATCATCATCATCTCCTGAATCATCTGAGGAACAAGAGACACGATTTCAACAATTATTGGCTAAACGTGAAGAATTTCTACGGAATAATTTATTACGCGTAAGTTTTTTCTATGCGCACATTTTTTTGTATTTCACTCATATTTGACACAGAATCTAGAATGGTTATAGTGTATTTTAAATTTTAGCACTTGAGATATATATACGTTGTGATAAAGCTGTATAGAATACCCTCCTAGTGTACCTGAAACACAAGGGGGGGGAGGTAAATGTTGTGTGACCACACAAAGCTCAGAGGAAAACTGCCTCAGGCCTGTCACGGCCTGTTTGAATTGGTTTTTGGGAATGGGTCAACATGAAGATCTTACCACTGGCTAAGAACAGCTGGAAGGGAAGCCGGGATATATAGTTTTCTGGGTCGGCCTTTCTAATCCCCGCCATCCTCCACAGAGAGATACGAGGCAGCAGAGCTGGTCTTCTGTGGGAAACACTTTAGTGACACCACCAATATAGTATAAACGACTTACACTATAACTGTAATTGTTTTCAGTCTAACCGCTATGCAAAGGACCTTTCTGGCATGTTAGGACCCGCAGGGCATTAGTTCTAGCCAATGTAGCTCGTTGGGTCATTTCGATGTACTAGTCTGACCATCGCGTCAAGGTAAGCAGCTATAGGTAGGAGCCTCTATTGATTGAAATCTCTAGAGTGTGTTTTTACACATACCATGCTACATCCCCCACTGATGAGAGATATTAACAGAAGTAGAATTAGATTTAGAAAATGTTATGCCGTGGTCATATCAAAAATAATGACACTAATTAATGAAGTGATTGACCGTCGGTTTGAGCCATATAAAGAAATGTAAATGATATGGCACAGATATATTAACTCTTTATCATCATCTAGACTCATTAATTGACTCAGATTTGATCACGGATTGATACCAATCAGAGAACCATTGAAAACCAGACTGTACTGGATAGCTGTTTTGTCCTGGTTCGGGATTCATCGACAGTACGCACCCACTGAGGTTCGAATCCAGGACCTTCCTGTTACAAGACAAGCTCGTAGACCATTCACAGCCACTGACATCCGACGCAATGGGCATTTCATGAATCCCTACTTCTACCAATTCGTCAGAGAAAATTAATTAAAAATTGAAAATTGATTTGATGCTCGCTAATGACTGTCTGCAGGAAAAAGTTGCCTGGAGTCCTGGTGAGAATTTGAGACCAGTGGGGTCCACCAGACGGTTGGGTGTGAGAACAACTACTCGCCGATGAGATTGGTTGATAGTGGTGGCGCTAAAATCATCAATTGGTAGAAATTAGAATTCATTGACCCAGTGGCTGGATGGTCTATGCGGTTGAATTGTGATCGGAAGGTCCTGTGTTCGAACCTTGGTTGATGCGTACTGATGAAGAATCCCAAAATGGGACGAAACAGCTGTCCAGTACTCCAATACTGATTTTCCAGTGGTTCTCTAACTGGTATCAATCCGCGATCAAAACTTGAAGCAAATCAAGTCCCCCTACAAACAAACTTATATACTGATGCTTTTTTGGATAAACCTTCAAATTTATGTTGTTCTCCAAAGTGTGGTGATTTGAACCAGTTACTCTTTTGCGAAATTCTACTGTGATAAGTCAATGAGTTAGTTATCTTACTGTGCCCTGATAAATATCTCATGTGGGTGGTAGTAGTTATACAGATCTATTATCTCTTCTATAGTTGGTTTGTAAGGGTTAGTTTTGTTTTTACAAGTTGATCAATGCTTCTCTAACTGATATCAATCCGAGATCTATTATCAATGTTTTCTAGAGGTTTCAGCGAAGAAAATTTTCTTTTCGACGAAGTCATCAACACTAGGCTGTACATTCGTGTAAATGTATATATATATATAAAGGGGTGAGAAAATTCCAGAAGTATTTCCAATCGAGGGTCAAATTATAACAAGATTACAAATAAGTATTAAAAATTGTAATATATTAACAAAATAAACAGGAAGATCGGATAAAAAAAAGTATAGTAGTGCTAATAGGGATTAGAAAATATAAAATAATAACGAAAATAAACAAAAGGTTTAGATAAGAAACGTAATCGGATAATCACTGCTGAGCGAATAGACTGTTTATGACAGTCACGATAAAGACAAAGGTTGGTTGTATATTTTGTTTTGAATTTTATAGCGTTGACTTTAGCTTATCGGATAGCCAGTGCCTTAGCTATCTGTCTGTCTGTCCGTCTGTTTTCAACATAGAACTTTGCACCGATGTGCAGCAGTTCAAGTTGCCACACTTCGTGTAGCACACAAAGCAAGAGAAGAATTGCAAAATAAAGACAGTAAACAGAGATATAAGGCAAAAAACGAATAGTAATATCGAAGAACAATATAGTTTTATTGGGTATTATAAGTCACAAGGAGCGAATATATCTGAGCCAGCCAATGAGAACGATTTTGAGCCATATCACCAACTGTCTCCAGCCATTGGTTTTTACCGTCCCGAGGGCCCCAACCAGGAAGTCTACATCCTCCTACGTGGCTTAGACTAACTGTTGTGGATTTCATTGACTGATGAAGCTATGTTTTGGTTTGACCACCACTGTCTCTTTACCAACCTGATCCTATGTCAGCTAACATTGCCCGTCGAGGAAGGCGATGGCTAGGCATACGTAACACATGTCCTAACCATCTCAGTCGATGTAGCTTCACAGCCTCGTCGATTGATTTCCCCTCCCACCTATCTAGCACTCGACGCCTAACCTCAGTATTGCTAACCTTATTATACCACTTCACACGGGAGATAGAACTCAGACACCTATGATCAAAGACTTAGCTATACCCAAATGCTTTGATTTCACTCCCTTTGAGAGTTTTTATCAACTCTTGAAGGATTTCCCCAATGGAACTGAATGTTCTGAGTTCACTAGATGTTCCGTTACCGAGCTATATACACACACACCTATGCTCTCTCCTTTTGCCAACCAGACTGGTTAGTGTTCCGAGCGTGGTTTTTCCATGCAGATCCAGCGTACGACCAGTATACTCAGCTCCAAAAGAACAAGTGAACTGGTGTATGCATATTGAGGTGGCAACCCAATACGACAGCTTGTCTTTCAGGTTCTGGCTGAATAATATCTTTCAAAACAGTTTACTCAATTTCATGGCAACTATGACGCTGTCACTTCTGTGCCCATTCCCGTACTCTATGCCTGTGAGGTCTATTTCTTCATCGATAGAGTTGTCCAGTAGCTGAATGTCTAATCATCAAAGTGTTTGTGTAGTATTACCTAAATTTAGTGCCAGAAACACGTGTTAAAACTTTTCTAAAGTTCACATCTAAGAAGGGTGGGTGCCACAACTAGATGAGATCTAATAACCCTTATTGATTTTGGAATTCTTACTGTTTGTGAAATCAATGAGAGTAGCTGTTGGCACATTGAACTTCATTGGTTATGTTTGTTTCTTATCAATGTTTCCTGAAATCTGTTTCGAATGAAGTCATTAGTCTGTGATGGAGGACTTGAATATTCACTTGTCAGCCTAATGGAAGGCTATATAAAGACAGATAGAATTAAGTGAAATTAGTAATCGTGAACTATAGGATTTCAAACTAACGACTATTCTGCACTTGGTGGTACCAGAGGAGAATAGAAACAACTCCCTTATATACTTCTTGATGATATAGAAGTAGTTTTTCAGCGGGTTACCCTTACTTTGAACGTGAAATGAAGGTTGTTAATTTGACCTACTACTAGTTAGTTCGTTAGTCAGTTAGTTAGCATACAGTCTGTATTAAATTTCAACCGCTAGTTCAAACTGGGATTTGACTGATTTCAAGACAGACTACGCCACGAACCAGCACGCACTCGTAACCATAGGCTGGGAATCGAACTCCGAGGCTTTCAGGATACATAAACCGAGTGCATCGATACTCAGTCACTGTGTTTGAAATACGATAAACCATAAACTTTAGTTTGTGTCAATTCGCGTTATAGAGTCATCGACAGTCAGTGTCATCAGCGAGTATTGGTCTTCACATGTGTGACTGCAGAGATTCTACCAGTCAGTCACTAATTTTCAAGGATAATTTCTTTTAGTAATTTGACCTCTGTATTAACATTGTTTTGTGAAAAGAAAACTAATGATGAACGTCAAATACAACCTATTTGAGTGACTCTAAAATATGGCAACCCGAAACGAAACTACCTATCAATGACCTTGACGAATATTTATCGACCAGTTCAGAAGCAGAGGTGTGTAATTTGAAAAAAGGTTAACATAAGAAGTAATGTAACGTTAAAAAGTAGTTACATTAGAATAACTTCCGTGTATATGTTCCAAGAAAACCTTCCAATTTCTCATAGAAGTCTTCATAGTTAGGTTTAACAAATTTCTGTGCGTAAATTCATCGAGATATCTGTAAATCATCGTGTTTCTTGACTAATTCACCGCTCCGATCCTCTTTTTTAAGTGACTCTAGAAACTTTTATGGAATTTGTGTAGGTTCCATCGAAAGGATTAACGAAATAATGCGTACTATTGACCACATTGTGAATATAATCCACGGGTGGCAGTTGCCTAAACGTTTTCTTCCTTCCAATGAGCTTGTGGTCTAAGTAGTTCTTAAATACTATATTTGAATGGCATTTGCTACATAATTCGTATACAGTACCCATAATTCCGTTTATATACTATGAACTCATCTGACTGGTTGCTCAAGGTCATTAATCCATCCATTAGGTAGTTTCTTTTTGGGTCGCTATAGTTTAGAGTCACCCCTGTTAGTTTACGAGTCCCTTGTGCTAACGGATTTCCTACCTAGAAGATTCGGAAGTCTACTGTTCCGGTCACTCTATTCTCGACGATGAGAACTACCACAATACAATTGTCACTTAAATGGCCTTCGTTTGGAGATAATCTAAAACTGTTAGCAACACCAATAAGCTTAAAAGGTGTCATAATTGGTGGAAAATACGAATATCACTGAACTGTAAAAATAAATGTAATATTTTGGGAAAATTAAGTGTATATGAAAAAAATAATTTATCGGTTAGACAGTTTAAGATTATGAATATCCAGACCATAGATGTTGCTAAATTTCCTGGTAGAATTTGAGCCCTAAATCATTATATTTCTGAACGTTTCACTGTGTAAGCCACGGTTTCTTCAGCAGAATTAATCAGGCTTTATTAAACATTTACATATATAAACATTATATTAGCTAGAGAACCACTATTGGAGCACTGGACAGCTGTTTCGTACTGGTTTGGTACTCTTCATCAGTACTCACCCACCGGGTTTCAAACCTAGGCACCTACTCGTTACAAAACAAGCTCTTAGACCATCCAGCCAGTGGGATACGTTGCAACGGCCCGTGAATTCTAACTACTACTAATTCGTGATTTTAGCGCGACCTCCGGCCAATATCACCGGCGAGTAAGTTGTCCTCACACCCAACTGGCTGGTAGATCTCAGTGGTCACAACGTCTCACTAAAACTTCAGGCAACTTCTTCCCGTAGCCAGTCACTAGCGAGCATCAGATAAATTTTCAATAGTTAGTTTGTACGGATTTCATTTGTTTCAAGGGTTATCTCGATTTTCTTGTTTTCCAATGGTTCTCTAAATGATGTCAGCTCTTAATAATAATAATAATAATAATAACCAATAATAATAATAACCAAATTGAAACAAATCGAATCGTTGCACAAGCTGACTCATGAAAAAATGTGTATATATGTAAAAGCATTTGAACGCGGAACTGTTTATTGACAAATTTGATGTACCCCTACGGGAAAGTATATGCACCTAACATTCGACTCTTCATTTGCGCATGTTCTGCGTACCGTGCCTCTTTTTTTAACCTTACTTTATGTTTATGTTGCCTCACAAGGATCTTTCATTTCTTCTCTTCGTCATTTAATCTGTCCCTCCTCAGTAATCAATATTCTTGCAGAAGACATCACACAAAATATTATCAAGTAGCACCCACCTCATATATGTGTTGATTAGATTTTGTTTTTTTGTGGGGATTTGAATTAATTACAGTTTGTTAGATTTTGCCGTAAACTAACATTACTCAAAGAGCATTGGATAGCTGTTTCTCTCTTAGCTCGTAACTCTTCAACACAGTGCGCATTCACGACCCCATCGCAGGGATTGAACCCGGGACCTTTAGGTGAGAAGAGCAAACTGTCTGACGATTCAACCACTTAGGAGATGAGAGGAATTCAATGACCCGTAGCGTGGTTGCGTATCGCTGAAGAGTCCCAAACTAGAATGAATCAGCTGTCCAGTCCTCCCAGCCGGTTTTCAGTGATTTCTCTAACTGGTCTAATCTGAAGCACATAGAATCCCTACCAAAACCATTTCTTGAACATTTATCTGATGCTCGCTAGTGACTGGTTACGGAACGAAGTTGCCTGGAGAAGTTCTAGTGAGAAGTTGTGACCAGTGCGCTCCATCCAGTCTGGACTGAAGATAGAGCTCCCGCCGATGACATTGGTTGGTGCCAGTCGCGCTAAATGCTTCACGAATTAGTAGAAGTTAGAAGTCATGGGCTGGCGATTGAATTTGGTCCTAAATGGCTGAATGGTATATCAGCCAGCTTGCCTTTTAATCGGAAGGTCCTGAGTTTGAAACTCAATAGGTGCTTATTGCTGATTAGTTTCAGACTAGTACTCCCAGGTTTTCAATGATCTCTCTAACTGAGGCTGGTTCTTAACGATGTATATATATATATGTATATATATATATATATATATATATATATATATATGCAGTTTAAATTTGTTTATTTTACTGTCTGTTTTGATTTATCTTCCAGAAACGTGCTGAGGTATTACGCTCACAAATTTATAAACGATCCATCCTGTCTAATTCCAATCATCGTAATCATAATAGCCATACTCCTCATTCTTTATCATTGAATCGAAAAACTGTACATGATAAAACTCAAGAGAAATAAGTAGAAATCAACGACAATAATAATAAACACATTTCTTCGCATATATACATACATATATTTATATTCTTTCTCAAGAAAAGGAGAAGATATTGTTAAAAACAACAGCAATGTTAATTTCTATTCTGTACAGTTTATAAAATGCAAAGGAATAAGGAGAGAGAGGGAAAGGTGAAAAAACGAACAAATAAACAATTTCACTTTAATTGTTTGTCTTTTTTTGTAATGAATTCTTCAAGTGTATTTTCTAATATGGTTTTCATTATTATCAACAATAACAATTCTGTTCATGCTGTATTAATATGTGTGTATGTATATGTGTGTGTACATATGTATGTGTCTGTCTGTTTGTGTGTGCGAATGTGCGTGTGGGTGGGGTGATTGTGATTGGTGTGAATTTGTAATACCGAACAATCTCAATTGTAAAAAACTACCAATCAAAATGGATGTTTTGAATTGTTATACAAATACTCGATATTATCATCTTTTTAAAAAAAAATTTGATAATAAGAGTGACGTGATTGTGGTATTCGCACATGCTTGGGTTCTCTCTAGTCATTGTATCTAATTAATTGTCTTATTACACATTATTGATAGTGATAATAATAATAATGTGTGGTGTAATGTGGACTTTGACTTCTTTTGTTGATGTTGGTTACAATGACGTTTTTGTATTGATCATGTGCGTGCGTGTGTGTGTACTGCTCACCACCTAATTTGTAAGATTGGAAAAAAATATTGTATCTGCAATTATTTGTGTTCTCTGAGCTGGTGGATGGTTTAATTGCGAAGCTTTCATCGTCCTTCTGGACAACATCTTCAGTGCAAGTAGTTTTAGCATAAAATGAACTGATTTAAATTCGTCAATGAATGATAGAATTGCGTCTCCTGGTATACATCTTCATGACTGGTAGTCGATCTACATCTGTATTGATCATTATTTTTATTGACTTGGATTTTAAACTTTCTCATCACATGATTTACTTTTTATTAATTGGTTGCTCACTAGCGACTGGCCCTATTCAGGCAGTGACCTGCGGTTCTAGTGGGAAGATGTGACCAGTAGGGTACAGCAGGTTGAAGATGACACAGTAACTCATCGAAGAAGACATTGCGAAATGGTCACCCTATGTCGTGAATTGGCAGAAGTTAGAATTCATGAACTGGCCACTGGATCGGGTCCCAGTGGCTCAATGCTCTACGAGCTCGCTAGCCTTGTAACCAGAAGGTCCTGGGTTCGAGCCCTCTGTGGCGAGTGCGTACTGCTGAAGAGTACCGAGTTAGGCTGATGAAACAACAGCCCAGTACTCCCTGCAGGTTTTCCAATGTTTTTCTAACTGATGTCAACTCATGATTAAATCCTCCATCCTATATCAACATGTTTGTTAATCGCATATTCGTTTGAGTACCAGGCTTCAAGGAATTCTCTGGCTCCGCAATTAAACCAACTAGGTCAGAGAACACAACTAATCGCAAATCATCCACCTGAGCTACAAATCTTCTCTATTATTTCAAAAATTCTATCTATTGAACTCAGTTTTGAATAATCTGTTGATGGATTGATTAGTGGATTATAGTGCACAGGGATGCTTGGTCTCCGTTTCCCGTTCTCTATAGACATATCAGCTCCTCTTAGTACAGACACTTCAGTGACGTCTTGGTGTGTTGTAAATCAGTGGGATCCAGGAGGCGTGTTTCTTCACATTGAGAAGTTATCCGTTGGATATCTTCGCATCTTAAAAAAAATGGATACTGGATTTGAGTCCCACAGAAAGGAACACCACTATCCAGCTGCTGAGTCGCAAGTGAAGACGAAACGCATGGCTTGGAGTCAGCTAGTTAGGTGCTGCCAATCAAGAGTGTGATATCATGAAATTCTATTTGTTGGGTATCTAAAGTTCTACACTCAATAATCATGCGTAGACTAAGCGGTCCACGGGAGGAACAAACACAAGAGAACCAGATAGGCTCTAGACTAGGAAGAGGGTGTATTGATCATATCTTCACCCTTCGACAGATTCTGGAACATAGGCATACTTACCGGCGTCCAACAGTAGTCATACTTCTTGACCTGAAGGCGACATTCGATTCCTTCGGCCGAGAGGTACTCTAGAGACGTTTGGCTGTGAAGGGAATGCCGAGAAGATATATTGCACTGACCAAGGCACTCACTCTACTCGAACTCATGCAGTCAGCCAGGTGAAAGCCTACGGGGAGTTGTCGTCTGACAACTGTGATAACAACCAGTGGTATCCGTCATGGATACCCTACCCATTGTCGTCATTTCTATTTAATTTCATCATAGATGTACTAATGGACTTAAACCTAACTCACTTCAGAGACTCAGAGATTGACTTGTTACCAAGGTATAATAGTCTCGTTGACTTAGAATATGCATGCGGATGATATAGTTTTCCTAAGTGAATACGCTGACAAAATGCAGAGTCTTCTAAACAACTTGAGCTGCTATCTGCGAATGTTTGGCATGCGATTGGCTCCTGTTAAGTGTAAGATGATGATGCTACAGGACTGGACTCCATTGACTCCTAGCTTAGAAATAGGGAATGAAGTGGTAGAACACGTTGACCACTTCACTTATTTAGGAAGTTGCATCAGCCAGTGCCAGCGGGTTGATCGCTAATGAGATCTCAGCACGGATACAAAAGGCTCGTTTCGCATATGCCAAATTACGCTATCTCTCGCTTAGTAGACGTGATATCCGGTTAGCTGGCTGTCGACCAAAGGGCGTGTGTACTGCTCAGCCTAGCAGATCGCTCTATCCTCCTTTATGGCTGGCTGTCAGCGAGACATGGCCATTGAAAGAAAGTGGAAGACATGAAAAGCCTGGCTGGGTGCATCTGACCGCAAATGTCTGTGTTATGTTTTATGAGTTAGGTGGTATAATATTGAGGTTAAGCGTAGAGTGATACGGAAGGAGGGCAAGTGAATCAATGAAATTAAACAGATTAAGATGGTTAGGATTTGCATTATATATACCAAATCATTGTCTCACTCAACACGCACCGTTAACTGATATATAATTGGGTTGGAAAAGAGTTAACAGTCTTCTATTCCCCTTGTTCAGTGGTATGATAAGATGAGCAATATTGAAGTGAGGCTCCGGTCGAGTGATAGGAAAGTGGAAGGGGAAATCAGTCGACGAGGTTGTGAAGTTACACCAATTGATATGGTTAGGATGTGTCTTACGCATGCACGTCTAACCATTGCCTTCGTCGACAATAGACAATGTTAGCTGATGTAAAATCAGGTTGGAGAAGAGTTAGCTAGTGCTGGGTGGTCAAACCAAAACAAATATGGCTTCATCAGTCGGTGGAATCCACAACACTTAGTTTAAGTCAGCCAGCCATGTAGGGAGGTGTAGACTTCCTGACTGATTGGGGTCCTCGAGATGGTAAAAACCATTGAAGACTGGGGACTATTGGTGACATGGTTCAAAATCCTCGTTCACAATGGCTGGCGCAGATGCATCCACTCCTTGTGATTTATCATATCCAATAACATTCTATTGTTCTTCCATATTATTATTCTTTTTTCTTCATTCACACTTCTGTTTATTATCTGTCTTTTGAACCTCTCTTCTCTTACTCTGTGTGCTACAAGGAGGGAGTGCGGCAACTCGAACTGCTGCACATCTGTGCAAAGTTCTAAGTGGAAAGCTCCACCTATGGTAATGATTAATGATAAATGTATTTTGGAGAAAATGATAAACTTGTTATTCTAAGGACGGTTCATGGGGTCAATAAATTAATATTTTTGACTGGAAGTTAGGCAGTAGTAAGATGTAGATAGCATAAGATTGATTACCCTATAGTAATACAAACAACACAGAGCCCTACATGAGATCAGTCGATACTCAAATAACTCAGTGATAATATATCATCTAACTGTAATAATAGGTGACAGAAAAGATGATTTAGTATTCAACCGGTAAACCAACAAGTTGACAAAAATTGCGAACATCGAAGACAGGGCTTCATGTTAACAATACAGAAGATAGAGGTGATGAAAATACCTAATCTAACAACAACAACAACGAGCATCATTCACCATCATCAAGAGGAGAATTTTCAAACGAAGTCACTTCTTTCACTTATATGAAGAGGCAGCATCATTTCAACTACACACAAGCTATGGCATTGACGAGGATGTCAAAGTCAGTCAGGATAAATAAAAGCACGAAGGAGGCCTTCATTAATCTAAAATCAGTGTGGAAAACGACTGCGGTCAGTATAAGGAAAAAGATTCAAGGACTTGGCGTGTCACGGAAAGCACCCTCCAATAGCTAACAGACTTTCATCAACAACAGCTGACTCGATACTTAAGACCAGACGGACAGGAAGTATTTTGATTGGACACTAGTCAGTGGTTAGTGTAGTGTGTCTAGTCTTTTGTTTGGTGGAGACTGAACTCTGTCGTCAGTCAAGTTTTCAATGTGGTCAGCATTCTAGGTGGCTCACCATCACGGTACACTTTAAAATGTTGATATTAGATGGTTGGAGATGAGTTGACCATAAGCTGAGGAGACACCGTTGAGTAACATCACACACCACGCCACGGAGAGTAACCCGAATGTGAGACGACGATTTTGTGTGCGAGACTGACATAAAAGAGATCAAAACTTATTGACAATCGTGTAGCCAGCTAAAAGGGACTGTGAAGAATAGGGTGAAGTGGACATTTGCTGCTGAAGCCCCACTTTCCACTGTAAATCCAAGGGAATAAGTATAATACGTTTGTGTTTGAATTAAACAAAAATAATAATAAAGTAGAGAGAAGATCTTATTGTAAATGTAACTGAGATCTACTACCTACTATTTAGTAGTATATTTAGATAGATATCAATTGCCTAGACATTATTCTAAAGACAAATTGTAAACAGAAATATCCTTTGATTGGACAATAGTAACTAGTGTGGTATGTTTAGTCCTCTCTTTCGTGCAGACTGAATTCTACCAGTCAAGTTTGCAATGTGACTACCATTCCACTAGGTAGCTCGCCAACACGGTGTACATTGATGTGATGATATTAGATGGTTGGAGGCAATCGACAGGATGCCTTAGACCTAGGTTTCGTGCTAGTTGGTAAGCTACATAGAATGGTGGCCACATTGCAAACTTGACTGATAGAATTCAGTTTGCACCAAACACCAAGGACTAGACACACCACACTAGTTACTAGTGTTCAGTCGAAGTATCCACTACAGTTCCACAGGAGGTTAATCGCGAGCTCGAATAGCTCAGTGGTAACGTCTCCGACTGTAGCACTTGGTTACGCAGGTAAAAATGTCAGACGGATGGGACATGAGCTCCTTCAAGGT